GTAAAATTCGCCATCTGAATCATTTTGAAGTTCAGCGGTTTTCAGTATAGTCACAAAATTGTGCAACAGTCACCACTATCTAATTCCATAAAGTTTTCATCACCCCAAAAGGTAACTGTCTCTTAGCGATCACTGTCCATTTCCCCTTCACCCCAGCTCCTGGCTACCATAAATCTACCTTTTGTTTCTGTAGATTGGCCTTTTCTGGACATTTCGCATGAATGGGATCACACAATATGTGCTCTTTTGTGTCTGACTTCAACTTAGCATAATATTTTAAAGGTTCATATTGCAGCATGCACGTTCCTTTTATGATCAAATATTATCATATGGATATACCACCTTTTGTTGATCCACTCATCAGTCGATGGACATTTGGGTTGTTTCCATGTTTTGGCTATTAGGAACGATGCTGCTAGGAGCATTTGTGTACAAGTTTTTGTGTGAACATATGTTTTCTGTACTCTTGAATGTATGTCTAGGAATGGAACTGTGAAGTCTTATGGTGACTGTTTAACGTTTGAAGAGCTGCCTGGCTGTTTTCCATAGCAGCCACACCATTTTACATTTCCACCAGCAGTGAATGACGGTACGAGGTCCTCCACCAATGCCGTACATTTTGAGTCAAAAATAGCTTTCCAGCGCTTGACTTAGCATCTTACATCTTAAGCTGAATTACAGAGATGGGCAGGTTTCATTGTAAAGTCCTGTCCAGCAGTCTCCTGGCAAAGGCAGCGCTTCATTCTGGAATGCAGTGGCCATTTGCAAAGCACAAGGTTGCAAAGGCCTCAGTGGGAGATTCCTTGGCCTTTGACGGATTTTGCCTAAGGGAGCCTGCTGTGGTGTGTAGCTTCAGGACAGGTGATGACAGCCCCAGTCCATCACTCTGGGCTGGCTGCCTTGTACAGCTTCAACCAATGCTAATTTCAGTTCTTTGGGGGCTGCACACGAGCTATTTTAGAGATAAATTTGGCTCCTGAGATTGTTAAAACCTACATGTCTCTAAAGAGTAAAAAGGAATTCAAGGAAATGTAAAACATGCTTTAATAACTCATACCTGACTCTACTGAGGAACGTTAAAAAAGGAATTTCCCATCTGGGACTTTCAGCTGAAGCCCTGTTTCTCTTGCTGTTTTATTACATATTTTCTTCACTTCATTTGTAATTTATATAGGTTTCTGTTTGCAATTCACATTGAATCTTTTATTTTAATGAGGATATGGCGCGAGATGATGTGATAATGAAAACAACTTGCGTTTCAAGTGTAAGTGCCATATACTCTTGAAAACAACTTTCTTAGTTTGTGCAAGGTCATCTTTGTGTTTGTGCTGCTTTATCAGTGTTAATGGGAATCTTTAAATGTTTCCAAACATGAGAAGTCCTGACAGTGATCTTTTTTTTTTTTCTTAATAGTTGAATTGTCTCCCTTGAAAATGGGATTTTTGAATTGTTACCTGCCACATTCCCTACCACAGTAATGGGAACTTACTAAATAGGAAGCAATTTCAGCACTTAAATGTGCTGATGTGATGTTTCTTAATCACTTTAATGAGTTTCATACCACTAGAAGTGGAATAGAAGTTTCAATGGAAATATAATTAAATAGAAAAGTCATTTCCTATACTTGTAATTTTCCCCTGATCATTTCTTTATCCACCTCCACAGAAAGGGTGCCCTACAGGTATATAGCGATGTTATTATACAGACTTATTTGCATAATTCACTTAGGTTATTAGTGCTGAAAACTGTAAAATAGAACAATACATTTTATTACAAATCAAGTGTAGCAAGGCAATGTAAAACTTTCCAACAATGATATTTCTTTTTAAAGTCTGATTAATATTTATTAGTTTTACGAACTTTTCTTGAATTGTCGGTTTCTTGCCTAAATCTAGATTTTTCTTTTAGTATGCCTTTTCAATCTGACCTGCTTAAAACAATTCTCAGGGGAAGCAATGACCTGAATCAGTAAAAATGGTAAAAGATCTTTGGAGATACTTTGTTTTTGTGTTTGAGATCAGGAGCAAACAAACCTTACCTGGGAGTTTATCAAGCCATGCTAAAAGCGTCAGCTGACACAAAGTAAGCCATGTTAGACCTGGGCGCGGTGGCTCATGCCTGAAATCCCAGAACTTGGGGAGGCCGAAGCGGGCAGATTGTGAGGTCAGGAGTTCGACACCAGCCTGATCAACATGGTGAAACCCCGTCTCTACTAAAAATACAAAAAAAAAAAAAAAATTAGCCAGGCGTGATGGCACACATCTGTAATCCCAGCTACTTGGGAGGCTGAGGCAGGAGAATTGCTTGAACCCGGGAGGTAGAGGTTGCAGTGAGCTGAGATCATGCCATTGAACTCCAGCCTGGGCAACAAAGTGAGACTCTGTCTCAAAAAAAAGGACATATTAGATTGAGTTATCATACCATGGGGTTTCCCTAAGACAAAACTCTTCTATACTACACTATTTGCTGAGAAATAGTCAGTACAAAACAAAGTTTTATCATTCTTGCATTGTGATGCTAAAAGAAAAGGCCATGTAATTTTTTTTAATTTGCTGTTTGTTTAACTCATAAATTTTAACATATTACTTTGGAGAGTCCAACAGACATTTTGGAAAAGGTGATATTTTTCCCTGACCTAAAGTGGGAGCTTGAGGCTTTTTACATTTCAACATAAAAGTAAAGGGGCTTGCTATCCATTTAGTTAATGCAATCCAAGTGAATTTGCTTACACTGAATATTTTTTTTTTTTTTTTTGAAACGAAGTCTCACTCTGTCACCTAGGCTGGAGTGCAATAGCATGATCTCAGCTCACTGCAACCTCCGCCTCCTGGGTTCAAACGATTCTCCGGTCGCAGCCTCCCGAGTTTCGGGAATCACAGGAGTGCCACCATGCCTGGCTAATTTTTTATTTTTTGTAGAGACAGGGGTCTCACTGTGTTATCCAGGCTGGCCTCAAACTCCTGAGCTCAAGCAATCCTCCCACCTCGGCCTCTCAAAGTGGTGGGATTACAGGTGTGAGCCACGATTCCCAACCCTTACACTGCATTTTAGGGTAAATATTTTTAGGTTTGTAGTTAGGCAAGTGGTTTGAAGCATCATCAGTCTCAACCCAAAGCGGCTCTTTCCTTATGTTTTTAGATAGAAAGACCTTTAAGCAGGATTCAGATGAAGGGCCTGCTCTACCAGCTCACCTATGAATGTGGAGGCACCAGCTTACTTTCTGCAGCACATGTGTCTTAGGGGGCTATCCCTTCCCACAGTGTGTAGATTGGTACTGAGATGACATTCTCTTTTCAGGGTGCAGTGATGACCCACATATGTGAGACGGTCATTTAATATCACCTTGATTTATACTTTCTGTGATTTTTTAAAAACATACAGAGCAGCTCTCTTGGTACGATTGGGCTGATAAAGCTGAAAGATCAGTAATGTTAAATAGAAGCCCAGGGTCTGGGTCTGTATTTTGCTAAGGAAACTTCATCTGCGCTTCCTTCCCTGTAAAATTAAGCTGTAAAACCTCCCTTAAATGAGATGGCTAAATGTCAAAGCATTTTATAAACTGTAAATCAATTCAAATGCATGTTAGTATATTTGTTTTCAAATGAACCATATGAAGTATCTTTCTGTATTTAGCTTAAATATTCTTTGCCAGGTATTTATTGAAATACTTTCTTTCACTGTACAATAGCATATTTAAAAAGTGCTTTGCATGTCTTGTTTATTATGAACTAATTTTTTACTAATTAATAATTAACTATTTGCAGTGCCACTATTTACTATTCTGAATGTCACATTTATTTATCTTCTTTATATTTCCCTCTGTCTACCATGCTGGAGTTCAATGGCGCCATCTTGGCTCACTGCAACTGCCGCCTCCCGACTTCAACCCATTCTCCTGCCTCAGCCTCCCAAGTAGCTGGGACTACAGGCGCCCACCATCACTCCCGGTAATATTTGTATTTTTATAGAGACAGGGTTTCACCATGTTGGCCAGGCTGGTCTCAAACTCCTGACTTCAGGTGATCCGCCTGCCTCAGCCTCCCAAAGTGCTGGGATTACAGGCATGAGCTATTGCGCCCGGCCTGAATGTCAGATTTAATTCCAAAGTTTGCTTGCTCAATGTTAAACTGAAAAAGAAATTACCTTTACAGATCACTAGTAAACAAACTGTTTAGCTGGGAGTTTATCAAGCCATGCTGAAAGTGTCAGTTGACCCAAAGTAAGACATGCTAGATTGGGGTTATCATGCCATGAGGTTGCCCTAAGACAAAAACTCTATACCATACTTTTTTTTTTGAGACGGAGTTTTGCTCTTGTTGCCCAGGCTGGAGTGCAATGGTGCAACCTTGGCTCATTGCAACATCCACCTCCCGGGTTCAAGGGATTCTCCTGCCTAAACCTCCCCAGTAGCTTGGATTATAGGTGCCCGCTACCACGCCCGACTAATTTTTTGTATTTTTAGTAGAGATGGGATTTCACCATTTTAATCAAGCTGGTCTTGAACTCCTGATCTCAAATGATCCACCCGCCTTAGCCTCCCAAAGTGCTGAGATTACAGGTGTGAGCCACTGTGCCTGGCCTTCAAATACTTTTAATATCTTAGTCATCTTTATTTTTCTCGCAGGTACTCTCTTTGAACAGAGTTTTATTTAATAAAGGAAGGACAGGTGGGGGGAGGAAGGGATGAATTATAATGGTTAGAAAAGAGCAACTACAGGTTATTTTGATTATACTTCTAAAGAGTAAATGAGCAATTTTAATAAATATTTGAGTCCACCTAAATCTATTAAAGCAGAAAATATAAAGCTATTTCTGTTATGAAGAGGTGATGAAAACCAGTCTGTGTTTTTGTAGCAACTGACTTAGAAAATCTTGTACTGAAATCAGCAGTTAGAGAGACTTGCACAGTATAGATTTTCAAATGTTTGCTGAATTGAAAAAGAACATTCACAAGAATTGTTTCCCTCAAGGTATCTTATATCAAATAAATGATCTTCAAGTTGTGGAATGTAAACCTTTTATTAAAACAGTTGTCTTTCCACAGTAGTAAAGCTTTGGCACATATAGTATAAAAAATAATCACCAACCATAATTATACCAAATTCCTCTTATCAACTGCATACTAAGTGTTTTCAATACCATTTTTTCCATATAAAAATACTGGGAAAAATTGATAAATAACAGGTAAGAGAAAGATATTTCTAGGCAATTACCAGGATCGTTTGGAAAAAGTGAGTACTGTGGATATTTGAAATACCACGGTAACGGGACATGCTGTTCTTACAGTATCGCGGGCCAGACACTTATGTGAGAGCAGAAGTGTTTGGGTAACTTTCCTACTTAAAATTTTGGTCATAGCATTTCAATACATTTTGCATCTTGGTTGGCTGCATGTGCTTTCCTATTGATCCCAAATCAAATCACAAGTTAGAATCACTTCATTTATAATACTGAGCGGCATTGAATACTTTGAAGCAGAACAGGCAATGTGCAGCCCTCATTTATGAGAAGACTCTCGGGACGCTCCCAGGGTGATGCTTGGAGAAGCTGTGAATTGAGCGGAAGCTGGAGAACTTCCTCCAGAGCAAAGGGCTTAAGAAAGAAACAGGAACTCTAAGATGGGGCTGCTAACATCACTCCAGTTTGGATGGATCTTGGCAGAGAGACATGCTTGTTCCTCTGGGTTGGAAAGATTTACTCTCGGGAATCTTCTCTGTCAGCTTGTACATCTAAAGGCATGAAGCACTCAATTGGGCAATTGACATTCTGTTAAAATGGAAGAAGGAAAAGAAATTAGTGGCAAATACTGTAAAGTATACAGAAAAAAAATGCGGGGAGGTAGGGACTGACTCTCAGCACAACTGCTTACAGATAGGTTAATATTTCTTCCTAATCTCAAGAACCTAGCAGTTTGCTCGGCAATAGAAGATGTTCAGGAGTTTAATACATTATAACTTAAATATATTATGGAATACAGTGTTTCTCTTAAGTCATTTACGAGTTTAAAAATTTTAATTTTTTTATTTTTCTTCCTGGACGACTCAGATCCATAGAAAATTTTTCAAATAAATTTTATTTATTTATTTTTGAGACAGAGTCTTGCTCTGTCATCCAGGTTGGAGTGCAGTGGCACGATTTCAACTCACTGCGACCTCCACCTCCCAGGTTCAAGCCATTCTCCTGCCTCAGCCACCTGAGTAGCTGAGATTACAGGCTCACGCCACCATACCCAGCTAAATTTTTTTATTTTTGCTAGAAATGGGGTTTCACCATGTTGGCCAGGCTGGTCTTGAACTCCTGATCTCAAGTGATCCACCCACCTCGGCCTCCCAAGGTACTGAGATTACAGGTGTGAGCCACTGCACCCAGCCCAAGTTTTTTTTTTTAATTAAAAAAAAAAAAAAGGTTCATTCTGAAGAAAGATTCCTGTAGAAAGAGACAGTCTAGTATGAGGGAACACACTCCTGGTGCTAACGCACTTACAGTGTTTGTTCTCTGATGGTATCTCTGAGAATACTGGTTGTAGGAAAGGCCAGTGGAGCCTTCGGTACCGGGTTCGCCTCCAGGTCTGCGGCAGTTGTCACAGCGCCAGCCCTGAGAGAGTAGAGGCATGAAGTCAAATGGGGTTTATGATAACCTGAGGACATCATAATTAAGTGTTTGAGTTAAAGAAAAATTTCACATCTTATGCACCGGCAAAATATAAGCAGTTAATCACTAAGGAAGCTTTGATGATTATTTCATGCATTTATAACTCGTAGAATACATTTGGCTTATTACTATCTTCTACCTACATCTGTCTCTCTGTGTTGTTTCTTTCTCCTGAAATGTCCTCTCTTCTCTTCCTGTTCAAACCTTACCCATCTGCGGAGGCTTATTCCAATCCCAGCATCCTCAAAAAGTTCTCTGTACTAGATGATGGAAAAGGCTTTCATAGAATCCTAGTGATTTTAAAAGGGACTTGAGATTACATGAACAAACATTCTTTTCTTGAGACAGAGTCTCCCTCTGTCGCCAGGCTGGAGTGCAGTGGCACCATCTCGGCTCACTGCAACCTCCGCCTCCCGGGTTCAAGTGATTCTCCTGCCTCAGCCTCCTGAGTGTCTGGGACTGCAGGTGCCCACCACCATGCCCAGCTAATTTTTGTATTTTTAGTAGAGACGGGGTTTCGCCATCTTGGCCAGGATGGTCTCGATCTCTTGACCTCGTGATCCACCTGCCTCAGCCTCCCCAAAGTGCTGGGAATACAGGCATGAGCCACTGCACCTGGCCAAACATTCTCATTTTATAGGTAAGGAAACAGAGACCCAGAGGAGAGGAGTGACTTGCTTAGAGGGAGAGGGAAGTCACACAGTGGATCGCTGGTGGAGTTGGGGCTGCCGCCCAGGAGATGGGGTGACCCCAGCCATGTTCTTTCTAATGCACCATTTTGCTACTCTCTTCTTAAACTTCCCTAGGCAGTGACATGGTAGCCTTTCATCTGGCCAGAGATGGCATGGGAGGTGGAAACAGGACCAAGCTGAGCAGAGGCTTCTCTCTGAGGTTTTTGCTGGAAATGGGAGGAGACACATGTTCTCTTATTACTGTTCTTAAGCTGGGAGGGGGTAAAACTGGAGCTCATGGAGGTCAGTCATCAATGACACCATCAGTAGGGACCCCACTGACGCATGAAGGCTGTGCAAGGGAAGGCACATGGAGTAAGAGGGACTCTGGGCGCCATTGCTGGAGCAGCCCCAGAAGCCGGCGGGTCTTGGACTTTTCCATTAGGTGAGCCATTTTTGCTTAACTTGAATGGGACTTTTTTCTTACAACTAAAATGCAACCCTAAATAATATAATCACTTTCTTTCTTATATTAGAATTTAAATGTTTTAGACATTTCTCTATTTAAGAGCATATGCCCCTGAACACCTAACACAATACCAGTGAATATCTCCTTACAGAATCACTGAATCTTGCTTTCCTATGAGAAAGTAACAGTTTCCACTCCTGTCTTAAATGTTTCATTTAACACTTCACTTGAGAATAGGCGTCACACATGAAAGGTTTCATGTGCATAAATAATGAGAAGATGCTGAAGTGAGGCCAAAATCAGCTTCCCAGCAAATTCACTCTCCATCACACATTTTTATACCAGAGTGACTGAGTCTTACGATCCTACGATCACAGTCATTATAAGGGTTAATGGGAGAGAGAGAGGCTGAATTCAATCTACATTCCAACCTCTAATTCTCCTCCATCAGAACTGGGAGCACCTCCCTCCCCGTGTAATCACTGGGGGTGAAACAAGATCAGAGTAGCTTCCACGGGCTGCCCTGGTGGGGCCAGGACAGGCCCCTGAAAGCCCCTGCTGCCAGATTAATTTTGCTAAAGATTAATTTCCCTAAAGACTATTTTCCGTCACATTTCTTTGCATCTTGGATACCGGTGATTGGTTAATGCCAAATGCATTAACCAATGAGTCTCACCCTTGAGTGTGAAGCATGTACCAGGATTTGGGGAGTTGCTGGGAAGGCATGTCTTCATTGAAAACAAAGGGCTGTTGCATTCTGTTGCTTTTATTTGAGTTACGAGTCATTTCAATTTGAAATTTCAAATCATATCAGAGAAAGGCATATTATTGTTATTATTAATTTATTTTTGAGGTGGAGTTTTGCTCTCGTTGCCCAGGCTGAAGCACAATGGCACAATCTCGGCTCACCGCAGCCTCCGCCTCCTGGGTTCAAGCGATTCTCCTATCTCAGCCTCCCCAGTAGCTGGGATTACAGGCATGTACCACCACACCCAGCTAATTTTTTGTGTATTTAGTAGAGACCAGATTTCTCCATGTTGGTCAGGCTGGTCTTGAACTCTTGGATCTCAGGTGATCCACCTTCCCCTGCCTCCCAAAGTGCTAGGATTACAGGCGTGAGCCACTGCACCCAGCCGGTATATTATTTTTTGTTAGACTGGGCATATTTTAGAAATGGTTGAGAAGCACTGGCTTAAATAATGGGCTGTTGAGGCCCTTCATAAGCCACTTCTTCCCATCTAATTTCATACCACAAGACACCAGGCAAAGGGTTGACTCACCAAAGCCCACCTGGGCCAACTCCTTTCTATCCCAGGCGGTGTGCTTTCTGTCTCTCTGCTCTCTCCCCTCCCAGTTAAACCTTAGCTATCCTAAACCTCAGCCAGTTCATGCATCTCTTTCTTGCTCATTCCAGCCTACTCAGAACTGTATTTGTCAGACTCACTTAGAACTTAATTAGCTTGACTTCGAAATGTATGCTAATTTAACATCTTCAGCTATATCATTAAGAGCCAAGACCAATTCTCATTTCCTCTGTTTGTCCTGTATTACTTAGCACAGTGCTAGACTTATAACAAGGATCTGTTCTGAATCAACAGAGAGGGTAAAAGAAGTGGCATTTTCTTACATCTGAGATATTATTCAAAATATTTCACAACGTTGCCATGGGGACACCTGTCCATCTGAATGGAGCTGGAGGCCTAGAGCTACGCTGCACTTAACACTTTAGTTGCTGAAAAATCGAAGCAGCCTGAGAATGGTAGGGGAGGGGAGGGTCTCAGGCTGCCCAGGATGGGGAAAACTGGCTGAAATGAAACACGTTCTATTCACCACTAATTAATTTGAATAGTATCTCTGCTTCACTTTTTTTCAGTGTACATGATATCTCTGATGTGCTAGGGAGCTTAGGAAAATGATTGCAGCATCGTATAAATGCAGGTATTGCTATTAAGAATGACTCAAGATTCTCATGTTTCTTGGTACTCTACATATTCTAGCAATAGGAATAGAAAGAACGAATGGCATGTAGGGTAGACATAGAACTACCCCAAAGCTCTACGTCAGCAGCTGCATGCCAACAGGAAATGTGGTATTTTAATATTTCCTAAGGGTCTCTGCCACTCCTGTGCATACCACACATCTCGCAGGAGGCCACCCTTTATCTTATCTAAATTGTAGGGAGCCTGGCACATCTGGTCTTACCCGCTGGCCTCCAAAGCATGTGCAGGAGCAAATGGCACCGAGATATTCCTTCTGCCACTGTTCTCCTACGTGGTACGTCTTCCCATCATCATAACATGTTGCCTCATCTGCATATAGACACAAAACAGATGCATGTGTAAGCTGAGAACAATACTGCAGACTTGACTTGATCTAGGGATGGGTTCTATTTCTGTCCTAAATTCATGTCATCACAGCCCAAATTCTACATATTTATGTGAATCATCCATAAGAGAAGTACTGCTGTACAGATTTTAGGGTGGCATTTCCAAAAATTAGACCTAATACACTGAAAAAGGTCCAATGGGAAGATGGAAATCATATTTTAAAAGTTGAATCTACAGACAAATAAAGCTTCTTTGTAGAATTTCACTGCGGATAATGGTCAAAATACTCGTCGGAAAAGTGCTAAAGCATCCTGTAATAACATTAAATCATGACTCGTTTTTGAAGCTTGTCTCCACCTTCCCAAATCAAAAGATTAACAAACTCACTCTTCACTCCTCAAGGAGACCTAAAGTCTCCAATCATTTCTGCAAATGAGAGTTACAGCCTGATAATGAAAGTGGGAATGTTTAATAAGGCACTAAAGATGATCTGTGATGACATACGGGGATCACACTTGAATTCTCCTTTTCCGTTCCCAAGACACGTGCAGCTCATCATCTGGCCATTTTCTCCCTGACGGTCCCACTTCTCTCCAATCTTATAGTTCACACCATTGTCATGGCACCATCCTGTGGGGGTGGGGAAAGTCAGGACCAAAAAGTTATTTGTATGTTCTGACTCACAAGACAGCAGGTGAACTGGGACATACCACAGGGTCTTCAGAGCCACAATCTGGAAAAAATAGCAAGGAAAGTTAACGATAATGACCCCTATAATGGGTCTATGTATTTATCTATTTATTTACTTTTTTTCTTGAGGCAAAGTCTTGCTCTGTCACCCAGGCTGGAGTGAAGTGGTGCAATCTCGGCTCACTGCAACCTCCACCTCCTGGGTTCATGAAATTCTCCTGCCTCAGCCTCCCGAGTAGCTGGGATTACAGGCGTGCGCCACCATGCTAATTGTGTGTGTGTGTGTGTGTGTGTGTGTGTGTGTGTGTGTGGTATTTTTAGTAGAGACAGGGTTTTACCATGTTGGATAGGCTGGTCACAGACTCCTGACCTCAGGTGATCTGCCTTCCTTGGCCTCCCCAAGTGCTGGGATTACAGATGTGCGCCACCACACCTGGCCAATGGGCCTTTTCTTTCGTTATATTTTAAAATATTATTTTTTATCATTTACCATTTTCTAGGGCATTTTAAGATCCAATTTATTCTGCCATAATCATGTCATATAAATAGTAAAATAAGCCGGGCACAGTGGCTCATGCCTGTAATCCCAGCACTTTGGGAGGCCAAGGCAGGCGGATCACGAGGTCAAGAGATTAAGACCATCCTGGCCAACATAATGAAACCCAGTCTCCACTAAAATGTAAAAATTAGCTGGGCGTGGTGGCATGCACCTATAGTCCCAGCTACTCGGAGGCTGAGGCAGGAGAATTGCTTGAACCTGGAAGGCAGAGGTTGCAGTGAGCCAAGATGGCACCACTGCACTCCAGCCTGGTGCCTGGTGATAGAGCAAAAAATAAAAAATAAAAAATAAACCTCAGATGAAATGATTTTGATTTGAATTCTCACTATTAAGATTTAAAATTGTGGAAAACTAAAGTGGGATTGGAGTAGACTTTTAGGAATAGATCCTAGATGAAAAATCACTTTTGGATTTGCAGAAACCCTGGACACAAAGTAGTTCAATTAACTGTAAAACAAGGATCAGCTGATTTCCACATGCTAACACCTGTTTCATGTACATGGGAAGAGTAAAAAAAATAATAATAATAAACAAAATGCTAAATCATTGGTTATTATCCACATCAAATAAGGCTGGTTCTGTGGAATACCTAAAAGTCACAGGTTATATATCTTTAACCACTACACATAAAAGATGACTTTTTAATCTCCAGGGCTTACACAACAAAACATACCTCAGAAGCTTACATAACAATCTACCACTTCTTCCATTTTATCAAGTCAGCCTGCCTTAAACTACAAAGTAAAAGAATTAGACAACTATGATATCAAAACAAAGATTATGTAAGCTGAGCCAAAGAGTCACATAAACGAACTTAACAGCTCTGTTCTCACAATTGCACCAAAGAACTTACACAGGTAATAAACATACAAACTTAAATGTGGTTCGGTTTCAGGAGTTAAGAACCACATAGTTGAAGTCAAATATTAAAATTTCCAGCTCCTAAACAGAATATTGACATTTTCACTGATTTTCATTTTCAAGTGGTCAAACATGGAAGTCTATATTGAAAACATTGCTAGGTTTAAAACTTCAGTCTGGATTAAACGATTTCAATTATACAAGTTAAGTAAAATACTTTGAAAATCTTTTTACGAAGTCTTATATTCTAATTCCACAGGTTATATAACTCTGTATGTCTGTAGGAGGCTTATTGATAGGCACAATGGTCAACACCTATAAAAATGAACCAATTGTCAATAATAATCACATTTCCTAAACACAAAGAATAAATGAAAGGTTTATAAATTCTAATACTAAATCTCAACGCATAATAGATATTTCCTAGGCACATTTTAACTTCAAAAATTTGAAAAAACCTATTAGAATTTGAAAATCAAACATTTATCAATTTGAATTATTTTTAATTATCTAAAAGTAGATGATCTGTATTTTTCCTTTTATATTTCTAGCAGCATTCAAGGTACCTGGGCTACGTAGGTGGTGTTAAAGTGTGTGCATGTGTACTATGATGTGTGCACGTTTGGTTTATGTTGAAAGAGACAGAGTTTTTGAGTATAAATGTTCACCTCTGATCTCACTCAATACTAAAGACTAAAAGAGATTTGGGGTTTTTCTGTGTCTCTAATAGTCTTAATTAGACGTGGTTCCAAAAGTTGTTAACTTTATCAATTTGTTTTCACTGAAAATTTCAAAAACCAAATTAGTCCCATAATCTTATGCTTAATTAATAGTCATATTGGCATACAACCCTTGAGATGAAGCAATATCCAACAAGTAAAATTTCCCATCATTTTTCTATGATGCGAAATATTACTTTGAGTCAAACAGTATTCCCTTGTTTGCTTCATGTTTGGAAGAGCCTGTGTCTTCCAAACATGCTTCCTTGGCACATGAGTACATGCATGAAACTGGAGGAGATGAACACGCGAGTGGATGGACAAAGCGACTACTCACTAGATGAATCGCATCTGAAATGACCACTTCCAAAGCCTAAGCACTGGCACAACAGTTTAAAGCCTGATTCAGACATTCGTTCCCACTCATCTCCGACGGCGTAATGAGAAACTGTGTAGGGGTCAAAGCACGAGTCATCTGTAGGTTGGCCCAAGCCTTCGTTGACTATGAAGAAAGGGAGGAAAAGGCAAAAAAGAGACATTCGATTAATGGATTTGGACCATAAGAAGAAAATGAAATGATTGTATACAATGACTTAATCTAAAACAATTCCAGGAGGAGTAAGAGGCATTCATCTGTTATACCAAGACAGTAACCGCTCTAAAAACCATGCTTAGATGTAGTCAGTGGATACCTGTCACAGGCCTCTGACAAGAAGCCCATCTTTTATTTTTCCCTTTACTTCTAACAAATTGCCATTTCTGTTAAAATTACTTTATAGAACATGGAACAGATCTTGAGGCAATTTAAGCCAGTTGAGAACTTTTGTAGGGTGCAAAGACTAGCGATGCCCCTCCACTGGTACCTGAGTGACCTTGGGCTAGCTATTTAACATCTCTCTGCCTTACCTCCCTCAACTGCAATACTAGGATAATAATAAAAATATCTGTACCTCCTGGGGATCTTGTGAAGATGATACAAGGTCATGAATTTGAAGCATTGGCCCTTTTCCAAGACTTAGAAAGTACTCACTAAATAAAGAATAATTGTTAAAGGCTATCTTTTGCTTATAATGCAAAACTCTTAGCATTTTAATATACCATTATAATGTAATTTTTACTTTTATTATTGCATTTCTTTGTATTATACTGCAGAAAGCCTAGATTTTGGACATTGTTATTGTAGTGGGGAGACTGCTTTACTTTATCAATGAAGTCAACTGTTTTACATAAGAAAAAGCCAGTGGCATACAGATGATTTAGGATAAGTAAGGGAGTCTCCTCATTTTACCTATGCTCTTATCTCTTTATGATTTGGAAAACCTTATTTTAAAACAATCTATGCAAACAAAGCATGCTTCAAATTACTCTCTAAAAATTAAACTAATTTACTTTGACTTAAAATTCCACTGTGTATTTTTCTTTTAGTGGAAAACTCAAAAGCTTAAAAGCAGTAGATATTTGAAGTGCCTAATTTTTGAAAGGCATCACCCTTGAAGAAAACAGCGTTTTGGAGAGCTAGTTAAGCCTGAGAGGTCTCAAAGCTGGGAGAACTTGGTTAGAATGCAGAATACTGCTGCTGGGAATAAGGAGTTTAAAAGAAAAATGGAAGGAGCTTAAATTGTTACTAGGGGTTTCTATGCTCAAGAAAGAGCGGCCGGGCGCGGTGGCTCACGCCTGTAATCCCAGCACTTTGGGACGCCGAGGCGGGTGGATCACGAGGTCAAGAGATCGAGACCATCCTGGTCAACATGGTGAAACCCCGTCTCTACTAAAACTATAAAAAATTAGCTGGGCATGGTGGCGTGTGCCTGTAATCCCAGCTACTCAGGAGGCTGTGGCAGGAGAATTGCCTGAACCCAGGAGGCGGAGGTTGTGGTGAGCTGAGATCGCGCCATTGCACTCCAGCCTGGGTAACAAGAGCGAAACTCCGTCTCAAAAAAAAAAAAAAAAGAAAAGAAAGAGCTAGGAGTTAAAATTCCGTCCTAACTAAAGTTATAGAGATGGAATCTTTAAAAAAAAAAAATGACTTAGAAAAGCAGAAAGACTGGCCGGGCACAGTGGCTCATGCAGGTAATCCCAGCACTTTGGAAGGCTGAGGTGGGCAGATCACGAGTCAGGAGTTCGACACCAGGCTGGCGAATATGGCAAAACACCGTCTGTACTAAAAGTACAAAAATTAGCCAGGCATGTTGGCGGACGCCTGTAAATCCCAGCTACTCGGGAGGCTGAGGCAGGAGAATTGCTTGAACCCGAGAGGCAGAGGTTGCAGTGAGCCGAGAAAAAAAGAAAAGCACAAAGATCTTTTTGCTCTTGAAAATTCTGTACACATGGCACTCTCCTAGTAAAACCACAAGAGGCAAAGATAAGCATTACTATGGATATGTAACACAACAAACACAAAATAATCTCCTCCCAACCTCTCTCCAGCCAAATGCTCAATTGCTTAATTCACAGGAATTTATACATGTAAAGTAGCACAGTCTTCTATCAGATGAAGGAGGAGGCTAAAATTAAGGAACTGGCCCTAGGAATAAAACCTATCACTTGGCAAAGACAGGACTTAGCACTCTCTGTTGGTGTGGAGTGGAGAACCCTCCTGTTGGAAGATTCAGGATTCTTGGTTTTGATTATTCTCTGTCTCATGTGCCTTGGTGAATCTTCAGCTGCTGCAAATTGAGCAGCCAGGCGGCACACTATTGGTTAAAAAGGATTTTCCAGGTGCTACAAAGAAGACTCAATGATCCTTTAACTTCTATAGAGGCTTTTGGCCTATATAGTCAGAAAAAAAATGGAAATAACATTGGGAAAAATAGAAATAACATTGGAAAACTGTAATAACATTGGAATAACACTCTCTGCAGACATAAATGCACAATGTTGGTGGCATTTTATATCAGGAGCAAAAGCCAACTGTCCCCATGTCTACAGAAGGGGCATTTTCTTTAAAGATAACCATTTTGGTATTTAAGAATCACTCAAAAGGACAGCAGCATGATGAGATGGAGAAGGTCTGGGAAAAGACATCAGGAAACCTGTGCCCTACATCAACTCAGATACTCACAAGTAAGGACTCAGAATGTGGTACTAAATAATATTTAAAGTCCCCTCCAGGTCTGTAATCATATCACCATTTGAGAGTCTGTCAATTACGTATGCATTTTGGGAAGACAACAGGATATGGCAGGAGGAGGGGGAGAGATTAATTTAAAATAAAGTTGCTTGTTTATTTCATGCTGATGTGTTGCATTACTTCTCAAAGATAATAAGACAATAGCAACAAAGGTACAGTCAACAGAAAAGCCCATCTCTGGTGTACAGCAGAGGGGAGCCTGTGACTAAACAACATGTGTTTACATACCAGAGTTGCCCACAGTCACAACCTCTTCCCGAACCTTATGCCTCTGCTGGTCCTTCAGTGCCTCCACTATGATGTTGTAGGTGGCACCTCTGGTGAGGCCTGTCAGAGTGGCACTGGTGGAAGTTCCAGGAACCCTGAACTGCAATTATCGGTACCATCCAAAGCAGAGAGAAAGCATTATAGTGAGGAATGACATGTGGTCTCCTCTTATCAATAGCCCTCACTGTTTAAACAAAGCAAAGGAAGACAAAAAAATAAAGGTAGGGTATAGGGGTTCTAACTAGCTGAGGAGAGAAATGGAGCAAGGATAGGGGCTATCATTTCTGCCAGATTTTCCTGCCAATAATCTACCTATGTGCTCCGTAGTTACCGGGAGCCTTGGGCAACACTAGAGACGGCCTGCCCTTTATCTTGCTTCAGCCACAGATCTAGATAAGCCCTCTGGAAGCCCTGGCCATGTCTGCTTCACATAAAACCTGGACACTGCACTATATGGGAGACACAGTCATGCTACTCCAGGTCACTTCTGACCCCCATGTGGAGTCCTTAAAACAGTTTGGCAAATCCTCAAACTCCTGTTTCTAAGCTCAGACATTTCCTACAGTGTTGTCAGTTTTTAAAAATTCTGCCACTTTGTAAAAATAACAACACAATCAAAATTGATACTGTCAACACAAATTAAAGAATATACGTTTTTGAGAATCAATCATTTATCGGCTACTATGCACAGCTTCGCGGTTTTTTTCTTTAGACATATTGTGGGCTTCTTCAAGGACAAATTGTAAAGGTAGTGTTTTAGACCTCTTACACAAATGAAAATTCAGGTGGAATATTTTTCTTTCTTTTCTAGAATCATCTCTTACTCAAAAAGGAGTCTCAAATGCTTGAGAATAATAGAAATCATTTCATTTTCTCTATGAAATAAAAGCTAATGACTCTCTGGTATGTTTTCCAAAGTACAGCCATATTGGGATTAAAAAGAAAAAAGCAGGGCTTAAATGTGCCGTCTTCTAAGATATTGTAGAAGTGAAACCACTTTTTTTTTTTTGAGACAGGGTTTCACCATGATGACCAGTCTTGAACTCCTGACCTCAAGTGATCCACCTGCCTTGGCCTCCCAAAGTGCCGGGATTACAGGTGTGAGCCACTGCATCCAGCCATGAAGCCACTCTTTATCAGAGGACTCTGGTCACTTCAGTTATCTAACTTACTGCTTTCTGAGCTGCCCCATGAGAAGTGAAGAGAAAAATTAATTACCTGTAAGGGTTCTTCATCATTGCCAACAGGATGACATGAAATGATGTACTCAGAACTTTCCTGGAATGGGGTCCAAGAGATGGTTGTCTGAGAGAGAGCTTCTTGTCCTGTAGAGGCATTTGGATTGAGTCCCAGACCGTGGGGGTAGAGGTGAAAGTCTACGTCTCCCCTGGGGACGTGACCAATTTGGATTTCCTCACCTACATTCGGCGGGTACGGTCTTGGCCTATGCCTTATGGGGGCGGCTGTTGTGGGCGGTGTGGTCCGCCTAAAACCATGTTCCTCAAAGATCATTTGTTGCCCAACACTGGGTTGCTGACCGGAAGTGCCAGGAAGCTGAATACCATTTCCAGTGTCATACCCAGGGTGGGTGATGAAAGGGGTCTTTTGAACTGTGGAAGGAACATCCAAGATCTCTGGTCCATGAAGATTGGGGTGTGGAAGGGTTACCAGTTGGGGAAGCTCATCTAGCCAAGAGAGGTTAGAGCCAAAAAAGCAAAGCGCATTAAGCTCCAGTAAGTAGCAGCAATAATAATATTTATTGATTCGGGCACACATGACTGTCCATCAATTTGATAAAAGTCCCCAGAAAATGAGCAGCTCTGAGATCACAAAACACTTTTATCCAGAAAGAAATCTTTAGGATTTTTCTCAAAGGTTTCTTTATAGTTTAGAAAGAAAAAGGTGTTAGTATGAATTTATCATACACACAAAGCTTTAAACCGCTGAGCTCCATAGAAGCTGCCTCTGCTCTAATTAAGCCTAATGGAACTGAAATGTGTAGTCTTTCTCTTCTTTCTTTTTTAAATTTGAGAAGCAGGTTATAGGAAGTAGAATCCAGACTAATCATATCAGTGTCTTAAATATGAGAATTACAGAGGTTTGGGTCAAGAGTTTTTTACAGTATGAAATGGTAAAAATAGATAAAACACACATGTTCATTTAAAAATTTTCCTATCACCACGAATACAGCATTTTCTTGAAATTAAACTGAAACTGGATGAAAAAGTAAGACATTAGAAACCAAATAATAAATAAAGATAAATGTGAGGGTTTCTCTCCCTCCTTTAAAAAAGGAAACATTTTAAAATTCAACAGAAGGTATAAAACAAGAGCAATGATAATGACTTGGTTTTACATTTTAATATCTTGTTTGAATTTTTAAAAGGCAAATAACTAGGCTTTATATTGAGTGGCTGTAGTAAAGAAAAAAAATAAAACCAAACTCTGCAGTGCATGTTAAATTATTCCTGCTATTAAAAAATACAATATATACACTATGCTGTTAGAAAAAAAATCACAAAGAACGTTTTCACATTGCAAGATTGCTCATTTGTTATTAGTTTTGTTCTAACTCCTTGTCACCTGCAAGGTACTCTTACCTGTCTTTTTCCTTCCAATCAGGGGCTCGCTCTTCTGATTATTCTTCAGGGCAATGACATAAATCGTATATTCGGTTCCCGGTTCCAGACCTAATGGGAGAACAGAACCAACGCATTATGTCGATGGGCTCGGACCTTCCTCTCCACTGGCTGTTGGCCTCTTGAAGGTAAAATCAACTTCACTTTTCTTCCATAAACAGCCAAATATCCTGCATATGAAGTCCACATCACAAACTAATCATCTTACTGTCATATCTGACACCGGAATAGACACTTTTCGGCTAACCTTTCCAGGGTATTTTTTTTTTTAACATCTGGTCTTATTTGCCTTTTTGAATTTAAGAAAATCTATCAGCATCATCTACCACCACTGGAATATAAATTTGAAAGAGAGTCCTGCAGATTATATACATGAATCTACTCAGGCCTAACAACCAGGTGGTCCTCAGTGGCAGATCAATGAAAAGTGAAACAAGAGGCAAGTGCTGAGTAGGCCAGTCTTTGTGCAGCCTCTGTGCGAAGTGTCTAGTTCAATTCCTCTCATACCTCATTCTATTTTCCTGTTTCCCCCAATTCTAAAAAGGCAGTGTCTCCTCCTAATGTCTGTATGTTCTATGGGAATTTTAAAGTCCAGGTGATACTCTATACATACAGATAATGGTTTGGCTCTGTGTCCCCATCCAAATCTCATCTTGCATTGTAATCCCCATGTGTTGAGGAAAGGAGGTGGCTGGCTCGTGGGGGTGGTTCCCCCAGGCTGTTTTCATGATAGTGAGCTCTCACAAGACCTGATAGTTGTGGAAGTGTTTGGAAGTTCCTCCTTTGTACCTCTTTCTCTTGCTGCCATGTAAGACATGACTGCTTCCCTTTCTACCATGATTGTGCGTTTCCTGAGGCCTCCCCAGCCATGCGGAACTGTGAGTCAATTAAACCTCTTTCCTTTATAAATTACCCAGTCTTGGGTAGTATCTTTATAGTAGTGTGAAAATAGACTAATACACATAGTTTAAATTTTCATCTCTTAGGCAAAAATAGTTATAGAGGCTTATAGTCTTTCCCACCAAGGTAGCCAACTCTTAGTCCCTATTCCAGGCATTCTTTCCAGTGGGGGTGGTTGGGATCACTCTGCCTCAAGATCCATCCTGTGACAGTGGTCAACAAGGTCAATGGCAGGTGGTGCCCTGGCAAGTCCTGTAAGATTACCATATCTATAGAGAGCAGAGTGTAATGATAGAATCACAATCAGCTAGTTTGCTTTGAAAAATATCTGTCTCCAGGACTGAAATTGACAGGTATCTGGCAAACGCACAGCAAAAAGAAAACATGAGTCTAGTCATTCCATTAGGACAGTACTGAAATTGCATTTTCCTTCACTCATGCCTTCTGGGATGCATTGAGCTCTACCACTCCTACACAGAGAATGCTTTCTAAGGTGATCAGGAATAGGGCTTCTCATTCTCATGACACAGTATCAAAGACACAGTTAGAGTTTGCTAAGGACTTCATGTGTCCTCAGTAGTAAGAAGGAAAACGACAGCATGGAAGCAGCAATACCAGTAATAGTAGCCTCTGTGACACCAGGGCGGGGCCGAGGGACCACTTCTCTGGGAGGAGACCCAGGCTTCTCATACTTGATGATGTAGCCAGTAATCCTGGCACGTGGTGGCTGCCATGATACCAGCAAGGAATTGGGTGTGGTGGCCAGGAAACGCAGGTTGGATGGTGCATCAATGGCTGAAAGAAAACAAAATTAAGTCTCTAAGAAGACAAATAAATTACTGCCACGCTTTTCTCCCCAGCCCTTCTAAACAGACTTAAAAGAATCTGAAAATACTGTAAACTGGAAACAGGATTCTCTCGAATCTAGAATATAAAAATATCAGCTTCACATTTGTTTTTTGAGTTCACGAGACTGACTGCATACAAGTCGGTGGCATTTCCTCAGTAGAAGGTATAGTTACCTGTGGAGGCGTCGATGACCACTGGGGAGCTCCGGGCATTGTCGTTCAAGGTGTACAGGTAGATCTTGTAGTCAGTACCCGGTTGTAAACCTGGGATTTGAGAAGAGATGATTTGTATCAGTTCTGGCTTGTAGGAGAATTTTCAAGCTTGACTGCAATTTTTCTAAGTTCCTCTGTCATCCCATATTTACAAAGACTAAAAAAGTGGTCCACATTTGAACAGTAAAGTAGAGCATGGTGTGGATAGTAACTGTTATCAAGAAACATATCTCAAAAGTGAATCACTGATGCAGACAAGGACCCCGGCTAAAGTAAATTCTGGAATGCAAAAATGCTATGTTGGAAGGGGCCCTCTTGCAGAATGAGTGGCAGCCATTTGCTGAGGTTTTCTCTGTACAGTAATCAGATGGTCAATAGTTGGGCCTTGGAATCACAACTTTGAAAAGCTCAAAAAGACCTCAGATACTGAATATTCTTTGGTTATAATGTTGAACTTTATTAAGCATTTTATATTAACTTTGTTTAATATAATTTGTTTATTAAATTATGTTTACTTTTATATTAACTTTGCCTTTTAATCTGTGTTAATGCTAAGATTTGTACATCACTATTTTTTATTTCTTTTAGTTTTAAACTTTGTTATAATTTTTTAAATAAGAAAGGGCACCGTGATGAAAGATCAAACTTGTTGAATGAAACTTATGCCATTTCTCTGACAAATATTACACAAAATCAGTCATTCAAAGGACAAAACTATTTCTGATCATAGCTTTGTCACATTTTAGAATGTGACAAAAATCACATTCTAAAACTGGGTTATTATGATAACACTGAAAATAAATTTTATCAGTGTCAGTCACAGAACAACTAATAAGCCAGTTTACAATGTGGATATTTGTTAACAAATGTAGTTAATGCAGTCAGTTCCCTGACCTGTGATGGTGTAGCTTCTGATATCTGGGCTGATGGTTCTCTGGATTGGAGTCTGGCCATTGGCTGGAACAGCATCAACTTGGAAGCCAGTGATCGTCTCCGTCTTGGTTCTCCAGCTAATGGTGATGGTGGTCTCAGTAGCATCTGTCACACGAGCCCTTCTTGGTGGGCTGACATCTGCACAGGATCATAGCTAGACATTAATGCCTGCGTGGCTCATCCATGTAAAGTTTTGGTATTTTTATTTTTATTTTATTTTATTTTTTAGAGACGGGGTTTCACTATGTTGGTCAGGCTGGTCTTGAACTTCTGACCTCAGGTGATCCACCCATCTCAGCCTCCCAAAGTGCTGAGATTACAGATGTGAGCCACCATACCCAGCTAGTTTTGGTATTTTTAAATGTTTCCTTGGTATATATCAAATTCATCCATTTCAAGAAATATATAACTAGTAATATGTAGATTATCTCCTTTGACATTCAGAGAGAAAGGTCAACTATAATTAGAAAATATGAAAATATCTACTTCTCACACATTTTATTTTGAAGAACTGAAAAGCTTTATAGATACTACCAGTGGTTCCCAGGGCTGACTTTAAAGTATCTACAAATACTTGAATAAATATTAAAAATATTAATGTATTATAATATAAAAATGTGTGTGGTAGGAGTTATAATAACATTCCCAGGTAACGATTTTATATATATGTGCGTGTGTGTGTGTGTGTGTGTGTGTGAGAGAGAGAGAGAGTGTGTGTCTAATATTATTGCAAGTATTTGTCTTTTCTCTCAACAAGTACAATACCATCCCTGTTTTATAAACGATGAAACTTTGACACTTTACCTGACTTTTGAAAAGGCGTACATGAAGTTATTGATATAGCAGAAGACTAGAGTCTAAGCCTGATTTGGTCCAGTGATTACTGTGCTGTGATACAATTTGGATATTTGTCCCTGGCCAAATCTCATGTTGCGTTGTCATTCCCAGTGCTAGAGGTGGGGCCTGGTAAGAGGTAGTTGTATCATGGGGGCAGATCCCTTGTGGCTTATGCCCTCTTTGTGACAGTGAGTTCTCAAGAGATTGGATCATTTAAAAGTGTGTGGCACCTCCCTCCCACTTCTCTCTGTTTCTTGCTCTTGCTTTTGCCACACCCGTGTGATGTGCCTGCTCCCTCTTGGACGTCTACCAAGATTGAAAGCTTTCCAAGGACCCCCTAGAAACCAAGAAAATACCAGTACCATGCTTCCTGTAAAGCCTGCAGAACTATGAGCCCATTAAGCTTCTTTTCTTTAGAAATTACCCAGGCTCAGGCTTTTTTATTTGAGACAGAGTCTCTCTCTGTTACCCAGGCTGGAGTGCAATCAGCTCACCGCAACCTCTGCCTTCCAGGTTAAAGTGATTCTTCTGCTTCAGCCTCCCAAGTAGCTGGGACTACAGGCATATGCCAGCACACTTGGCTAATTTTTTGTATTTTTAGTAGAGATGGCATTTCACCGTGTTAGCCAGGATGGTCTCAATCTCCTGACCTCATGATCTGCCTGGCTCCGCCTCCCAAAGTGCTGGGATTGCAGGTGTGAGCCACCATGCCCGGCCAGGTATTTCTTTATAGTAATGTAAGAATGGCCTAATATTGATTGTTAAGCTATAGCAGAAGCCAGTGTGTTCTCCCCAAGCTTATCTCTATGAAAACAAAATTTTTTTTTTTTTATACTGAACATTAGCTACAAATTGTGCCAGGTGTGGTGGCTAACACCTATAAATCCCAGCACTTTGGGAGTCTGAGGTCACCATGTTGACCAGGATGGTCTCAATCTCTTGACCTCGTGATCCACCCGCCTCGGCCTCCCAAAGTGCTGGGATTACAGGCTTGAGCCCCCGCGCCCGGCCTATGAAAACAAATTCTAACAGAGCATAAACTAGATGTCAGCCTTAGTCCATAACACCAACATTATAACCTTATGAAGTGATTCAATTTTATGTGTCAGTAGACCCCTTTCTCAAGGAGTATAAAAGATGACAGTCATATGTCAAAAAGGCAATCAAATCAATTTTCAAATTAAGACTCATTCTACTCTTAACATATAAATCTAAAAAATCATTTGCTTTTTTTTTTTTTTTTTTTTTTTTTTGTCTTTTTAAGAGACAGGGCCCTGCTATGTTGCCCAGGCTGGTCTCATACTCCTGGTCTCAAGTGATCCTCCTGCCTCCGCTTCCCAAACTGCTAGGATTTTAGGCATGAGCCACTGAACCCTCCTGATTTACCATTCTTTAATTTTTGTTTATACAGAAGGTTTGTTGATATGAAGACATTTTATTACTTACTCTCCAGAGTGGTGACAACTCCCTGAGCTGGTCTGCTCGTCAAAGTGTCCTTCAGAGCGTAGACACTCACTTCATATTTGGTGGCCACCTAGAGAATAAGGGCATGGTAAGCTTTAGCAGTGTCATCAGCTGAAACCCGGGAGTTTCACTACAGCATTAGGCCAATGCAATGGTTATGAAAGAAAAAATAAACAAACTAGCAAAACTCACAACCTTCTAAATTCCTAGATTAATTTCATTCCTACAGTGCAGATGATCAACATATTTATCAATTTTAAAATGCTCTTAGCTGTTAAGCTTAAGCAAGCCATAGATTACATACTTAAATAGCTGGTAAAAAAAATGAGGGGAGTGGGTGTTAGCGTATTTTTCTTTTTTAATGATCTGACAGTTACAAATCATAATTTTTTCTTGATCATAGACAGGCAAAGAGAATGTTCCATTCTGTCTCTGAACGCTCTTTCTGTAGTTTCCCCTGAGATTGGCCTTACGTTAAGAGGTACCTCGGTCCCCTAGGTTCCTAGCAGTTTTCTGCATGTATGTCTGGGAGGATTTTAAAATATTTTAATAAGAGTAGGGTCAAGGTAGACTGGCACAAACTGTAAAATATTCCTTACCAAGGTAATGGAGCTCAGAAAATGCATAACTAAGTCGATTTATGCATTCAACCAATGGATATGTAAATTTTCCCCCACAACCTTTTAAAATAAGCACAATACATCTAAAACAGCTGCACAAAATCCAAAGCTATTTATAAAATTCCATCCCAATAGTCAGCTGGAAAACTTAGGTCAACATAAATAATTACATATAAAATTACAATAAGATTATTTGATGCAGAGGAAAAGAACAGTTAGATTTATTATGACATTATAGTTTCACCACCTTAGAAACTGTGTTAGAGATGATCTCCATCTTTATTCCAATGAACAAAGTTCACGTCTTACCATAAGTCCGGATACAACCACGGATGAGCTGTCAGGAGCAAGGTTGATTTCTTTCATTGGTCCGGTCTTCTCCTTTGGGGTCACCCGCACTCGATATCCAGTGAGCTGAACGTTAGGTGGCGTCCACTGGGCGCTCAGGCTTGTTGGTGTGACCTGAGTGAACTTCAGGTCAGTTGGTGGAGGAATGGCTGTCGGGATGGTCATTGGTTAGAGATTATTTTATAGGAAATGGGGAATAAGGAGAATAAAGTGAGTTCCAAGAAGTAGAATGGATTGTTCTAGTTGGGTTAGGTGGGTTCCCTGGTCAAGCGAAGATTCAGTACAAGAAAGTACAATAAGGGATGCAAAATGAAGAAAGCGTTTGCTGAGAAATGTGTTTTATATCCACCAATTCTCAGAATCACTGAAAACATTTGGGTAAATGCCAGAACTCTAAGAGATTTTAAATTTTAGAAATTTTTTTGCTTTCCCTTAAAAAAACAAAAAAAGTTGAATTGGCTTATTGGCCATTATGATCTATTTTCCCTTTGTATGGAAAAATAAGCAATAGCCCTTTTTCTTTCTTAAAAAATTTAATTAATTCGTTAATTTAGAAACAGGGTCTTGCTCTGTCATCCAGGCTGCAGTGCAGTGGACCTATCATAGCTCACTGCAGCCTTGAACTCCTAGGCTCAAGCGATCCTCTACCCCAGCCTCTTGAGCAGCGGGGACTATAGGCATGTGTCACCACACCTGGCTAATTTTTTTTATTGCATATTAGGTTTTGGGGTACATGTGAAGAACATGCAAGACTGTTGCATAGGTACACACACGGCAGTGTGATTTGCTGCCTTCCTCCCCATTACCTATATCTGGCAACCTGGCTAATTTTTAAAATTTTTTCTTAGAGATGGGAATCTCACTTCATTGCCCAGGCTGATCATGAACTCCTGGCCTCAAGCCATCCTCCCACCTTGGCCTCCCAAAGCACTGGGGTTACAAGTGTGAGCCATTGCACCCAGCCTCCTTTTTCTACATAAAGTATCTTTGTATGGATAACCATTTCACACAGCATTCCATCCAAAAAAGAGAGAATAATGTTTTTATTATCTCTTTATTTGGACCCTATGGCAGATATGGCAGCTAAATTTGATGTTCTCTCTGTAATGCGGCATAAGAAGAAAATTGGCTCCTAACAGAAGCAGAAAAGAGAAGCGAAGAGCAATAACACAGACTGTCACCTCTATGGTTTATGTTGTCGCTAGGATACATCCTTAGCATTGTACTCTGCTTCAGAAATAAAGCACAAGAAGATCAAGTATTATGGAAAGCGATTGCCCTATTGATTGTTTCTTATGTGTCCGAATCACAATCATTTAAGCTAATTATACAGCAGCACATGATATCTAACCAGAGAAGAAAGGTCTTACCCATGTGTGCTCAGAATCATGCTGCTATGAAATGCCCCAGTTTGGGTTCCTTTATATAAATAAGCTCTATGATGCCAAACTTCTTTCCTTTATACATAGCCAGGGTAATCACAGGGAGCCGTAGCTTAGGAAATAATCCACAATTTTAGTATCATCTTCAAATGTCTTGCTTTATGGTCTTATTAACTTGTTTACTTAAATATCACCTAAGTTCTATTGTTTCTTACCATTCCTCTTTAAAGAGGATCTTTCTTAATGATTTTTTTCACCCTTACATGGGAATCAATAGCCCAATGAAGTATAATTCATTCAGCAGGGCATAAAGCCGCTGCTCCCATGGGCACCCGGTGGTGCGATTAACCATATACCTGTGGACTGGGTTCCAATCAGGGGCTGGCTCTCCATATCATCGTGCAAGGCAACCACACTGACTGTGTACTCAGAACCCGGTCTGAGGCCTTGCAGCTCTGCAGTGTCTTCTTCACCATCAGGTGCAGGGAATAGCTCATGGATTCCATCCTCAGGGCTCGAGTAGGTCACCCTGTACCTGGAAACTTGCCCCTGTGGGCTTTCCCAAGCAATTTTGATGGAATCGACATCCACATCAGTGAATGCCAGTCCTTTAGGGCGATCAATGTCTGTTAGGCAAATTAATGGTAAGAGGTTATGTGAAAAGCAAGTTGTGAAATAAGCATTTTTATAACATGCAAAGCAGTTTTGCAGATACAATTTTCTTTGGTGAATTAAAGTCCATTTAACCCACTATCAAATGGAAAATTACTTAAACACTTGCTTAGTTTTTCTTGGTTTAGAAAATATGCAATGTTGCATCATTTATTAAAACATAGGTATATGTGAGATAAGCAGATACCCTGCAAAATGGCCCCACAGTGGGGATGTATTTATATTAATTTAAAGATATTCTACCATGATTTGATTTTACAATGTAATGTTAGTCTCATAGACCTGGATTTTCTATACCCTTGGAAGTGGTAAAGCTGATTTGTAATGTCAGATTCAAATAGTTATAATTCTTCTTAAACTCTTCTTTTCCCCTGTCTATTAAGCATTTATATTACACTCTGGTCCAGTCATAGTCCTTTGAATGCCCCAAACATAACAGCTACACAAGGTACACTTACAATCAACTTTACCATCCAGTTGTAGAAAATACAGTCTAGAAAAATATTTTGTAGATTTGCTGTAGGCAAATAAGATTTCGCTGAGGCCATTTGAGCAAAAGAAATTCAAAGCACAGCAACTAACTATTATAGCTTCACAGTTTCTTTCCCTGTAAGTTCCTTGCTTGGCACTGAGAAGGAAAACATGTCTGTAAAGGGCTCAGCTCAAGATACAAACTAACCAACAAGTGGACTTTCCCTGTGCATAATTACAAAAGACATGTGGCGAGCATTCAGACACTCAGGAACAAAATTCAACTTTGAAAGTGGAAACCAAGCAGTAGTTACGTACTGGTTACTGCAGTCTGAACCAGTGGTTGACTCTCGCCATTTGGATTCTGAGCATAGACACTAACCACATACTCCACTGTGGGCTGCAAGCCTTCAATGGTCATTTCTGTTTGATCTGCAAAGAGAGTGAAAAGCAAATGCAACATCTATGTCATCCACTATACAGTCATCCAAGCGGCTTCTGGAGTTTGATAGTAAACATACAGTGGCCTAGAATTTTTATTTGCAGAATTGTAACAAAAATATGGAAGAGTCAGACTTTGATTTCCTCTTAGACAAACCTGTTCATTGCTAATACAGATTACCACATGGGAGTGAAGTCACATTCAAGGATAACCTCTAAAACTTAATATGGTGTCCCCAACAATTAGTGACACTACTCTCAGAAAAAATGAAAATTAACTTGACTTTAATCAATTGCCTTAAGATCCTATTTTCACAAGTATTCTACCTAAAAACAAAGACAACATAGCTAAAAGGATCCGAAAATGTCGGTGATGTCATTTCTCTCTTCTTAGTGTGGATTTTAAACAAAACCAGAAGGGTGAATCTGATAATTTAAGATGAACATATCACTAAATAGAACTATCCATGTAAAACCAGAAATGCACTTATCCTAAAACTTCTACTGTGAAGAGGGTTGATAACATTCTTGATTCCTGAACTCATGAATGGGGAAAATGATGACATATGACAAGAAATACATAGTACTCACAGCAAGGTAGCCATTTATATAAAAAAGAATATTAGGTGGTCCTGCCCCATCTATCCTGTTATATATGAGATGCAGATTATTCTCCCCCCTCCACCACTGGGATGGAGTCTGTTACTCTGTCACCCAGGCTGGAGTGCAGTGGTGCGATCTTGGCTCACTACAACTTCCACCTCCAGCGTTCAAGCAATTCTTGTGTCTCAGCCTCCCAAGTAGCTGGGACTACAGGCACGAGCCACCATACCTGGCTAATTTTTTGTGTTTTTAGTAGAGATGGGGTTTCAATATGTTGGCCAGGCTGGTCTTGAGCTCCTGACCTCAAGTGATCTGCCCACCTCAGCCTCCCAAAGTGCTGTGATTACAGGAATAAGCCACCGTGCTTGGCCAAGATGCAGATGATTCTTACCTGGACCTGTAGTTTTAGTTTTTGTTGGTCCTGGTCCATTTTTGGGAGTGGTGGTTACTCTGTAACCGGTAACAGGGGAACTTGAAGGCAGCCACTTGACACTAATGCTGTTATCCTGAACATCAGTCACTTGCATCTGGGATGGTTTGTCAATTTCTACAAATAAAAGCAAGGAGAAACCAGTGAAGCCCCAGTCCTTGGAGACAAGATTGGACAAGTCCTCCTCTCTAGGTCTGGTACACATTTGAATGATCTCTTACCTGAGAAAGGTATTTTCTTCTTGAAAGAATACAGAGAGAACTTTTAGAGGATGGGGCATGCCTCTCAATACCATTGCCTATTTTTGAGATGGCTGCTTCATTCACAAAGAAGCTACATTCCACAAGCAGGTGTCTGTCTTCCTACTTTATCAACCCATCCACTCTTCTCCAACAAATATTTATTGAACACTCTCCATGCCTGTCTTATTGCAGACATGAGGAATATATCAACAAAACTGACAAAACTTCCTGCCCTTGGGGTACTTCCTTCTTTATCTGGCTCAAAATTCTGTTAGCTGCAGGTGTCAGCTGCAGGTTGTTGACTTATTAAAAAGGAAAATCAATTCTACAATGAGAAAAATACCATGGGAGAATACTGTAAAAACTATCTGAATAAATAAGGTGGTGTCACCCCAGAGTAGAAGTTTGTACCTGTTCGGTAATTAATGGTAACTGGCTTGCTGCTCGCGGGGCTGTCCCCACGGCCAGTGACAGCATACAGAGTGATGGTATAATCGACTCCAGGTTTAAGGCCACTGATGGTAGCTGTAGACTTGCTTCCAGGCACAGTGAACTCCTGGACAGGGCTATTTCCTCCTGCATGAAAAGGGGTTAGTTCAGAGTGTGAGGGGCTTAGAGTTACTTGGGTATTACTGAATAATTGAATCACCACATTGATAGCAGCATGTAAATCAAATCTTGCTTATTCCCTTTTAAAGAGTGCTAATAATAGGTCTTGAACAGAAAGGGGTATTTATGCACGTCGTAATCCTTGGTAAGTGTATAAACATTGAGAGAAAATTACAGTCAACGCTATTTTAACATTTCAGCTTTAAAATGTCACCGAGTAGCATTAAAAGAGGGAAGGTTAAACCCTCAACCCAGGATTGCATGCACTGCGTCCTTTTTAAAAAATTTAACAGAATACATTCCTGTTAAATAAAATTTGGAAAATACAGAAAAGTAAAGAGAAGAAAATATAAACTCCTGACCTCAAGAGTGTCTTTATTTCCACCACTGATAATATGTTTGTGAATTTACAATCCTTTTTTCTTCCTCTCAGCTCTGCCATTCCCCCTCTAGTTGTATTATATGAACAACTTTTTATTTGGGTTTCAGAACAAATTAGGTTGTCTATATCTTCCGTATTTTCTTGGAAATAAAAAAGGGTTCCACTGATGGGACTTGCTAAAGTGTCTTTAATTCTGTGTTCACTGTGGGGATTTCAGGTTATCCACAATAGAGCCTGATTGAATCAGAGTGTAAAATAGCATTTTACTGCCGTACCTGTTTCTCCATAGGTGATCCTGTAGTATCTCACTGTGACAGCAGGAGCATCCCAGCTGATCAGCAGGCTGGTGGGGGATGCAGCAACAACTTCCAGGTCCCTCGGAACATCAGAAACTAGAAAAAAAAAAATCGAACATTTTCACATCTGTAATTTTCAAGCAATACTCAGATTATTCTTTGCTCATTTTTCAGATAATTGTCTTAATGATTCCTTCATACAATAATGTAAATACTATGTGTAATTAGTAGAATTTAATATTATGACAAATTCAAAATAAGGGGTTACAGAGCCCATCTAAATTGTGATAAAATGATTATTTCAAATTTAGGGAAGGGCTTTTTTTTCCCCTCAACTTGTTATTTGGAAAAATTTCAAAACTGCAGAAAAGTGTAAAATAGTAATACAAGGCTGGGCACAGTGGCTCATGACTGTAATCCAAGCACTTTGGGAGGCCAAGGCAGGTGGGTCATTTGAGGTCAGGAGTTCAAAACCAGCCTGGCTAACATGGTGAAATCCCATCTCTACTAAAAATGCAAAAATTAGCCAGGTATGGTGGCGGGCCCCTGTAACCCCAACTACTTGGGAGGCTGAGGCAGGAGAATTGCTTGAGCCTGGGGGGCAGAGGTTGCAGTGAACTGAGATCATGCCACTGCGCTCCAGCCTGGGCGACAGATCAAGGCTCCACCTCAAAAAAAAAAAAAAAGTAATACAGTGAACACCTATGTACCCTTTCCTTAGGTATTTGTCTCTCACTTAACAACTGAAGACAAAAACACAGACTTCATGATGCTACTGCTCCCCTAAGTACTTCAGCCTCTATCTGCTAAGAACAATGACACCATTAGACTAAAATTACATTTTTAAAGGTACTCTGAAACAGTGTTCAGTTTTCTACTTTTTTTCTTTTTTTTTTGAGACAGGGTCTCGTTCTTTCACCCAGGCTGGAATGCAGTGGCGTGATCTCAGCTCATTGCAACCTTTGTCTCCTGAATACAAAGATTCTTCTGCCTCAGCCTCCCAAGAAGCTAGGATTACAGGTTCATGCCACTATGCCTTGCTAATTTTTGTATATTTAGTAGAGACGGGGTTTCACTATGTTGGCCAGGCTAGTTGTGAACTTCTGACCTCAATTGATCTACCCACCCTGGCCTCTCAAAGTGTGGGGATTACAGGCATGAGCCACCACGTCCAGCTAGTTTTCTTCATTTTGAATAAAACTTGTGTTATTAGAAATGCATAAATACCCAAATCAGTTGAGAAATTTTTTGAGAGAAAAAAATCACCTTCTTTACTACCACTGTGCCCGGCCTTCTTTACTATATTCTAAGGGAGATTTTTCTACACACATTTTCACTTCCCTCTCCATGTCCCATGACCACCATCTAATTTTTTTAAGAGCTGATGACAGGCAGCAGCAAGTGACTTTACAGAATATACCAACTGGGTAGGAAGTCTTCTGAGTTTCTTTGCAGACCAGAAAACAAGTTACCTGTTGATTGTTGGCCAACCAATGGGAGACTTTCCTCTCTGCCATAAAGAGCAATGATGCTGACCACATACTCTGTGCCGGGAGTGAGGTTGGTGAGGGTGATGGAGTTCCGAGTTGGGGGCACCCGATCTTCTCGAGGTCTCCCGCTCTGATGCTCGGGATTATGGCGGATCCTGTAGCCAGTGATGGTGGCTCGAGGAGCAATCCAGTGCACAGTAAAAGAGTTGGCAGTAATATCAGAAAAGTCAATGCCAGTTGGGGAATCAAGGCCTGTTTTCCCACCAGCGAAAAAAGAAAAGACACCACCAGTTTAGGAAGTGAGGAAGGTGTAGAAGAAATTAATGTACATTCAACAATTCGGTCCTGTCTCATCAATACCATGATTTGCCATAAACTTCAGATTAAGATGTACTGATTCTAAGCTACACATGTGTTTTAAAATCATAAATTGACTCACTTCAAAATAGCCAACTCAAGCATCCATTTTTTTCTTTTGCTAAGTAATTCAAGCAATTTTTAGGTGTTATTACAGTAGGTTTCTGTGTCACATTTGTAGATAAGTGTTCAAGATATTCTGAGAATTGACATTTTCAAATTTCTCAGTGTTCAAGTATCCTATGTTTCTATCCTGTAAGTGTATCCTTCCAAGTAAAGCAAGATCTGCCCACTGTCAAGGTAAGTGTTTGACTCTCAAGGAAGCCTCCTAAGCTCAAGAGGAAATTTATGTCAACAGAGTGGTAATGATGCCAAACACAAAACTTTCTAAAACTAAAGACATTATCCCAGATAAATTACAATGCTGATAACTCTTCATGTATTGACATTTTTGAAAAATGCACAAAAATTCAAAGTTTGTTGTAAATTCAAATCACTTAGTCTCTGGGACTTCCAGCAAATTTCTGTTTCAGTTACACCATTTACTAGTTCTATTCAATAAAAAACCAAACTAAGATACCATAAGTCCTTTTTAGAAGCAAGTAGACTATAAATAAATCAATGGATATACTAAACTGTACGTTTTTAAAGAAAAAAATTAAAAGAAGCATTCATATTTAAGTACATCATATTTATGAGATTCAAATTTCTTCTTGTAAATTCATACTTTATTAAGTAGAAAAAACCATAAACTTGCTGGCTTAGTAAAGGAAGAAAAATAGATGACAATGAATGTTGGGTTAGTCAGCCACATAATGAAAAGGAATGTCCACTAAAGCTAAATAACAAAGATCTTCTTCTTGGGAAATGTTTTTTAAAAGGACAGAAAAATTTCTTGATTAATTTGTTAGTGACTGAAAATCTAGGTGATTGCTGAATATCTTTTAGTCTTTGAGACCAGTGATAATACTGTGATGACACAGGTACACATGCCACGACCACAAAAAATGGAGATGTATTTTTAGATGTAGCATTTCATTTGTTATACAAGATTGGTAGGCAAAAGCTACTGGATACTGTCAACAACACTCACCTGTTTTCTGTCTTCCTCTAAGAGGTATGCTCTCGTGTTGTTCGTAGACACTGGAGACACTCACTAAATATTCTGTACCAGGCAGGAGATCTGAAGAGGCAAGTGGGACTTATTTTAAAATTGTGCTGGAAAGCATGAAAAACCAACGCACACCTAGGACTATTTCAACTGATGAAATATCCAAATGTCCAGTCCTATCACCTACTTACACCTAGTGAATGCCGCTATCTGGTGAACGTCTATAATTAGTTGATAAGGAAGGGTCACCTTGCCCCATACTCTCTCAAAGCCCTGCCCTCAGTTCCACCTCTGAGTGTGACTCAGCTGGATTTTGAGTGAGATGAAGTTGCTGCCGCAATGTAATATTTCTCTTATCCACCTGAGAGTATGTCTCTGGAGCGCACGTGATAATCCTTGCTGTGGTGCTGTAGATTGCCATTGATGCCTTACAACAAGACTGAGAGGTAGTTTGCTACTTTTAAAGGCAGTTTTCTTGCCATACAATGTACTGCATATATGTAAAGTGATTTGATGGGTTTTTACACATGTATGACTTGGGAGACCATCACGACATTCAGGACAATGAACAAACCATTCACCTCTAAAAATTTGGTCTACTACAATATGTCCATTTTGCAAATGAAAAAAAAAAAAAAAAACTGAGACACAGAGAAGTTATCTTCTTTAATTTACTGCCCAGGATCATACAGTGATTGACCCAGGCCAGCACTAGTGGTCTTAGCAATTAACCTTTACTGGAAAAGAGCCACAGTTCAAAGAGAAAGCAATTGGTTCTGCCATATTAAAATGAGAGCAGCGTATTTTTTAAAAAATTAAATATACATCCCTGAGTATCTTCTTCCATTTTGAGACGGAGTTTTGCTCTGTCACCCAGGCTGGAGTGCAGTGGCATAATCTTGGCTTACTATAACCTCTGCCTCCTGGATTCAAATGATTCTTCTGCCTCAGCCTCCTGAGTAGCTGGGATTACAGGTGCCCCCCACCATGCCTAGCTAATTTTTGTCTTTTTAATAGAATCGGGGTTTCACCACATTGGCCAGGCTTGGTCTGGAACTCCTGACCTCAGGTGATCAGTCCACCTGAGCCTCCCAAAATGCTGGGATTACAGGTGTGAGATACCACGCCCAACCTCTTCTTCCATTTTAATACACAGTCATGCCATAGCTTAATGATGGAGATTCATTTTGATAAGTGTGTGATTTGGTGATTTTATTGTGCAAACATCATAAAGTGTACCTACATAAACCTAGATGGGCTTGTAATCCCAGCACTTTGGGGGGTGGAGGTGGGTGGGTCACTTGAGTTCAGGAGCTCCAAACCAGCCTAGCCAACATGGTGAAATCCCATCTCTACTAAAAATACAAAAACATTAGCTGGGCGTGGTGGTGCACGCCTGTAATCTCAGCCACTTGGGAGGCTAAGGCAGGAGAATCGCTTGAGCCTGGGAGGTAGAGGTTGCAATGAGCTGAGATCGAGCCATTGCACTCCAGCCCAGGCAACAGAGGGAGACTCCGTCTCAACAAACAAACAAACAAACTAAATGGTAGAGCCTACGACACACCTAAGCTATATGGTCTAGCCTTTTGCTCGTAGGCTACAAGCCTGTGCAGCATGTTATTATACTGAATACTACAGGCAATTGTAACACATGATAAATATTTGTATATCTAAACATATTTAATCATAGAAAAGGTATTATAAAAATAGGTATTATAATCTTATGGAACCACTGTCGTATATGTCAGATGTCATTATGTGGCACATGATTGATCCAAAAAGATACAGAGAGTGACATTTCTAACTTTGAACTCCTACTCACTAAGCCCACGTTTCCCTGTACACCATTTGCCCTTTAGCCTTTCTGTAAAGCCTCCTACAAAGTTTTGAAAAGTGCCAGGCTGGAGGACTAGATGCTTGGATTCCACTTCCACGTAACTAGCTGGTCAGTGACAATTTACTTAATCACTGGGGACCTCACCTGCTTCATGTTTATCTGTTTATTTATTTGGAGACAGGGTCTCATTCTGTCACCCAGGTTGGAGTACAGTAGCACAATCATGGCTTACTGCAACCTCAACCTCCCAGGGCTTAGGTGATCCTCCCACCTCAACCTCCTACATAGTTGAGACCACAGGTGTGCACCACCATGCTCAGCTAATTTTTGTATTTTTTGTAGAGACTGGATCTCACTGCCTTGTCCAGGCTGGTCTTGAACTCCTGGGCTCAAGCAACTGGCCCACCTGAGCTTCCCAAAGTGCTGGGATTACAGGTATGAGCCACTCCACCTGGCTTGCTTCATCTTTAAAAGAGGATAATAATGACTTTGCTAGGAGGGAGAGAGGCCACCTTGAGGTCATTTGCAGCATTGGGGTGATAATGTGGTCTTAGAACGCATGAGTACCATGTGACAGGTCACTGGCTAAGCTGAGGCAGTCACTGTGATGCAGGGGCTTATATATTGGGTAATGCTGTAATTAGTGATTCCAGGGTTCTCTAGAACAGAAGCAATAGTTCTGGGGTTGTGGATATGCCAATATACAGATATTCTTGCCCTCAGCCACAAAGTAAGAAACTGAGATCATGGGCATGCTGAGCTGCTCTTCTCTGTATTTCATCATCTAAATTATGTTTGAAAGGTAGAGGATGTTTCAGACTAATATTTGGTAATGTACCTAAAAGTAAGCTATTTTTCCCTCATGTAGAATCTTTTGCTGTTGTTATATATTTTACTATTACAGTATAGTAAAAATAATAAGAAGCACTGTTTATGCGAAACACAGCACCATCTTGCAGCCTACTCTTTTATTCTTTGATAAAAGATGTCTACTCTGTAATGGTTGGGACTAGAAAGAGACAATTTCCATAAATTGTTGTTTATTTAATGTCAGTTTTTTCCTAAGTTCTCAGCCTTCTGAGAAATCCTTCTAACAGATTCTTTTTGAAGTACAAATTAAACTTCTGACTCTGTTCAAAACAACATCCTAATCCAGCCCAAGCAATCAGTCACTTTTCTAAGTATTCAAAACTTAAATAGATCACCTGCTGACACTTTTTTTTTTAATAAAAATGAGAATAAAGCACATATAGTGACACTATTTTCAGTTCTCATTTTTATCTCTAAAGATTTAGATTTAGTCATGTAATTTCTCTTGATATTCACTTATTTTTATGTGCTTATTTGGAAGCAGAATTTGTTTGAAGTCAAGCTGGTGTTTTTCCACTATGATTTTTTTAAAAGCTGTAGATATCAAAAGTATATTAAAACAGCAACAAACATTACATCTTTCAAAATTTATGGAGCTGTACATTGAATTTGGAATTTAGTTTGTAGCTTGGTTGCAGCTCTCTTGCTCTTAGCTGCTCCTATTTGAGAACTCAGAATTCATTTGCTATGCTCTGGGTTAATATTTTGGAACAGACACATTCGGCTGCTTACTTGTTAAGACCACTGCATTGTCTGAAGGAGAAATTGACAATTCTGCAACGTCCTCTTCATTTTTCACAGGTGAGTAACGCACCAGGAAGTTGGTCAAATCAATGGATGGGGGTGGAGCCCAGGTGATGCGCATGGTGTCTGGACCAATGTTGGTGAATCGCAGGTCAGTGGGAGGGGGAACAGCTGGTTTCAAACAAGAAGGAAGACTCAGTTAATGCAATTTTAAAATTAAAGCTAACAAAGTAGCTGGAAAGGTAAAATCGATATTTCATGCATAAAGGAAACAGTCATAATCATGCAAACAGTCTAATCTAAATCTATTTTAAGTCATAGCGTACTACTGTTAAAAATAAAACACTACACACAGTACTGTTAGGCCCCCTTTAACCTTTTTGCCATCATAAATATATTTCAAAAAATAATTTTAATCTACTTTCAAATACATTGACTTTAAGCACATTATTAATACCATTGCAAATTATTTTATCCCAGGCTGAAGAGGCTTAAGTTGCCACACAGCAGAGACACATAGCAATACTTTCCAAAGAAATCCATGCACACAGACAAAAAGACAAGAGGGTCCTAAACCCCCCCCCATGTGAGATGTCTAGAGCTACGGTTCCATTCAGTGAATTCTACTTACAAGTGAAGAGGGTTCATGCAAATTGGTTCTCAGCGTGTTTCTTTTCCCATGCAGGGCAGAGAACCTCTAAAATGTTGCATGCTTATCCCCAGACTGTGGTTAAAGAGGTGTTTCTTTACCTAATGACAGCAACAAAACCTAGAATGCTCCCAAGTTTCGTTTTCTCCTACCTCAAAACAATACCTATCCACTCTACCCTAAATTTTGATGGGTTTTTAGCTACAAAGAAGGAACACGGTAGAGTTTATCAAAGGGTAGGAGGGTGAGCATGATGGTACAGTTTGGAGGTATATTTCTTATAATTAACTGGTGCTCATTATACAACTTGGTATTCATGTTCAGCATTTAAGAAGAAAAATTCTAGGTCTGCAAATTGAATGAACATTTGCTATTTTATATTTAACAGAGCAGACATCTGTATTTCTCCAGCTTTATATCTACTTGTAGTGTAAATGAGAGTGAACTTAAGAATACTTGCATATGCTTTCCTCCCTCAGTTTAGCAGATGCATTTGATTCCTTATCCCCCCAACTCCACCCTGTCTTAATCTTTGGACAATTGCTGACTTCTCCCTTGAAACATCCATATTTAACCAGAGTAACTGGTGGCAGCATGCAACACACCATCCATGTCTTAAACACAGAAGTTTTCAAAATTCACCCGTTTGCTGTGTCAGTGTAGTAGGGGCACTCTCGCCGCCATTAATGAGAGTGATAACGCTGATATCATAGTCAATGCCCGGCTCCAGCCCTGTGACTGTGTAGTATCCTACTGAGGAGTCCACAAAATCTTCAAAAATAGGGATCCCTTCTCCTGCCGCAACTACTGTGATGCGGTACCCAATAATGGTGGAAGAGTTTAGCGGGGTCCACCTCAGGCCGATGCTTGAATCGGTTATATCAACAAAGCTTAGGTCAGTGAGTTGGGGCACCTCTATTGAGTTACAAAGCAAAGGGGGGGAAAAAGGCAAATAGAGGCAAAAAAAAAAGAGGAAAAAATAAAGCAGTGTATATCAGGTTACCGGTAGTAAAATTGATGGAATGTTAAAGCAATGATGGTAATATGCACTCTGTTTTAAATTCTCTGAAAAGGCTTCCTAAGCATCATGAACAGTTTGCTTCCCTGGGAGAATAAAGCAGGTTACAATATTCTTTTAGGATTTTTTTTTTTTTCATTTTGAAAACGTCCTTAAAGGGTACAATTTGAACTGTTCAGATTCCTAAAAATCATAGGCCTCTTTAGGATGCCAAAACCATTCTTAGAGCCTCAACATAATATCTGAAGTATCAGCAATGTTTTTTAAAATTCCAAAACTGTTTTGGTAGAAAATAAGCTTGCATGAAGAAGGTTAAAAAAAATAATAATTGGCTGATAATTTTTTTTTCTCCCATACAAAACTCATGATGACCTCATAGCCATAACGCTAATGCATTATGAACATATGGTGTGAAATGTGCCCTTCAGAAGCACATTCAGGCTGAGGAAAGGCAGGCCTAAAGTCAAGGCCATTGCCACTATTTTAGTTCATTCATAATCAAAATATTTAATTAGCGTTAGTAAAAGCATTCTACCAAGGAGTTCAAAGGGTAACACAATCTGTCCAATGCCTTCAGTCTGTTATAATCCAATGGACAAACAAGCCTATCCTTAGATAGGCCTTTGCAATGTTGTCTTTGAAGCCACAAGAAAGAACACCCTGAAGGTGTGGCTTTTACTTCTTTTTTTTTTTTTTTAATTCAATTTTTAAAAAGAAGGATTTGAAACTGCAAGATGAAAAACTGGACGTGTCAACCAAATGCTGTTTTAGTGCTCACATACGGGGACAAAACTATTTGATAGGCAGCTGTTGGAAATTGACATGGACTGTCAAATCAGGCAGAAATGTCCTAATGGGATGCATTTACCATATTACTTTTAGCCTGTCAGTACTGAGTACAGACACGTGACAGTGTTTTAGTACACTTCCATGTGAGCGGACAGTACAAAGTTAAAGCCATGGTTGCCACTCCATTACATACTTGCTGCAACACACAGCATCCCAGTGAAGCACAGACAGTAAAGCGGTGTTAACGGCAAGCATTTGTCCAAATTGCTACTTTGACTTCATCGTTTTGGAGAGTGCAGCTGGGAGATCAGAGTTAAATCCCAAATCTATTTGACACCCTTAACCATCTGGGGATTAAGATGCTAATCCCCACTCTTATTGGAAGTACCACTCTGAGGATAGCAGCTTATTTTTCTATTACCTGGGATGATGGTATCAGAGATAGGGACACTTTCCTTGTCATCCTTGACAGTGTAAACACTGACATTGTACTCCAGGCCGGGACTCAGGTTATCAAAAGTGCAGGAACTCTGATCAGCATGGACCTCTTCTTCCAAAGAATATCCCTGCTGGCCATTTGTAGGGGTTGTGGTAATTCTATAACCAGTAATGTCTGGAGAAAAAAGAAAGGAGGAAGTTTTTGCACCAAGCATCTGTGAGCCAGAGCATATTTAACTAGACTCCAATGGTGGACTCACGGAGCAGAATGCAGAAGGACCTGGCATTTACTGAGGACTCCACTGTCACTATCATTCAATGCTTGCAACAATCCTTTCAGGCAGTTCTAAGATCCTCACTTTATTTTTTTATTTTTATTTTTTGAGACAGTCTCCCTCTATCACTCAGGCTGGAATGCAGTGGCACAATCTTGGCTCATTTCAGCCTCTGCCAAGAAGCTCACTTTTTTTTTTTTTTTTTTTTTTTTTTGAGACAGTCTCGTTCTGTCTCCAGGCACTAGGCTGGAGTGCAGTGGCGTAATCTTGGCTTCCTGCAATTTCTGCCTCCTGGGTTCCAGCAATTCTCCTGCCTCAGCCTCCCAAGTAGCTGGGACTACAGGCACGCGCCGCCATGCCCAGCTAATTTTTGTATTTTTTAGTAGAGACAGGGTTTCACCATGTTGGCCAGGATGGTTTCGATCTCTTGACCTCATGATCCGCCCACCTCGGCCTCCCAAAGTAAGATCCTCACTTTAAAGGAAATCTTGAACCAGTGAGTGATTCCCAAAAGCTTTTTTTGTCTCCAAATCCCATAGTCCTATCACTGCATCCCGCTTTTCCTTAATGGATTATTTGAAGACAGCTGAGGAATATTCCTTTCTACCCACTAGTGTGGAATCGCTCTCAACCTAAAGCACATTCCCCAAAGAGAACTCTCCTAATTCAAAAGGCCTGAAACTATGGGATTTACGGGAAGAGAATCAAGAAGGCGAAAAGGTGAAAAACAAAAGAGGTGATACTTATTCTAGAAAGAGTATTGATTGGGAGGCTGAGGCAGGTAGATCACCTGAGGTCAGGAGTTTGAGACTGGCCTGGCCAACATGGTGAAACCCTGTCTCTACTAAAAATACAAAAATTAACTGGGCGTGGTGGCCGAGATTTCGCCACTGCACTCCAAGCCTGGGTGACAGAGCGAGACTCAAAAAAAAAGAACGATAAAAAAGAGTATTGATTGTTGTAGTCTTCAGGAATCACAGAAATTGGGCAGTAAAAGAGTTGAGGGGGAGGAGAGAAAGACAGTCAAACAAAAACAGTGACAACTAGAGATCTGCAGGGCCAGCTTAAAAGTAAAACGAGAAAGTATATTAAACTTTATGAAGGGCAAGGAGATGACAGTATGTTTTGCCATTAGGAACAGGGTGAACACTAACATGGCAAATACGAGGAAGCCCAACTGGATGAGAAATAAATATTGAGATCATTACACTTGCTACTGATCATCCAAATGTGTGGGCTGGGCGATTGAGACAAGCAAGGTGTTAATGGTCCTGCTGCTAACAAGCATGAAGCTTGCCAACTTCAAATTTCAAATTCGGAGCAACTCAGCTGGAAATTGTATAGCTTTGGCTTAAACGATGTTTCCAAACATAATGAAAACTTCCTGAAAATCACTCTACTTCAGAGGGAGATTAAAAGAGCTGGTTTTATTCTGTGTGATTGCAGACATTAATCAGATTTAGAAATGATTGCCTTAGCTTTGTGCCCTGGCAAAAATAAGAACTATATAATACTTTTTTAAACAAAAATTTCACGATGATTTAACGGTAAATTTAGAAATAGCTAAATAATAAACTAAGCATATCCCTTAAATTAATAAGTATATGAGGTAATAATGTAATCAACATTCATTGAAACTTCTGTTTCTGTTTAATTTAAGGTTTTCTCAGTAAGTTTTGTGAGACTTTCATGTGGTTTTGGCAAAAGTAATGAATATCTAAAATTTCCTGTTATTGCCTTAGTACATCATGTTATTTGAATATTGTTATAGCTATCTTTACATAATTTTACATTTTATAAATAATTTTCAAATATGTGTGAATGGGGAATTTAGATAAATGCTTCATTTAAAGTTTTTAAAAGTCATGAAACCCCTTGACCAAATTTTTCAGTTTGCATAGAATATAATTTAAAAACAATTACATTCCAAATATGTGAAGTTGGGTGTGGAAGGAGTCTACAAACAATCCCAGTTTTGCAACATTTAAAATGTGTGACTATGAGTAGGCCGATTTTTTCAAAGTCTCAGTTTTCGTATTCTGTAAAATGAAGGTATTTCTGCCTTTCATCACCCTTAAATAATTGCAGTGCAACTCATGACAAAACATTCACAAAACTTCAGGGAACAATAAACTTAGGCTCTATAACCACTCAAAAAAGGGAAATTACGTAATATGACTTCAGCCATTTGTTTGGCAATTTTTAATGCACTCAGCGAAAGGCACCTTCCACACTGCTTTTCTTCAATCTTACAGCTGTGTAAGGATCTGCCTTGTCCCTGTAGACTAGCGTAAGATTGTTCTGTTTCCTGTGATTGAAGTCAACATGCATTAAAAGCACCCTGCATGCTGCTCCACGATGTTCATTAGATTTTGCTATAGTTTTATGGAGAGCTGAGCAATTGTAATTCAAATCCTATCTTCCTCTGAAAGGAACATAGTTTCTAAAATCTTTGTCTTGGGAAGGTATGGTGTATACTTGCCCTCTGTTCCATCCCATGCTTACCTGGGGTGGTGCTCCTCTCCCAGGAGACTGTGAGCACTCCAGTGTCAGGGTTTGACTCCAGATGCAAGTTTGTTGGTGGAGACAATGCTATGCAGAAAGAAAATTTTAAAAGTGAAAGCTAACACAAAGCTCTTGACCTGTGTGATCTTTCCTCCTTCCCTACCTCCCTCTCTTCCATGCTTCTTCCCTCCCTCCCATAAAAATATAGGTTACACTACGAAAACATGATGGACAGCAGCAATTCTCTGACCAAGACTTTTTTTTTAATGATTACCGATTTTACAACACTATTGAAATTATTTTCATCTTTCCAGTTCATAAATATTCTTGACATGGAAAGAACATCTCCAGTGCCATAAAATATAAGGCATGAATTGAACCTGCTACCCCAAATTCAGGAATAGCATTAATAATATAAGTAAGGATAAAGTATTTCCCCTGTGCCATTCTCATAAGTAAAAAGTGATATTGACACTAGCTTTTTTCAAAAAGTGGAACAGTTTTAAAAACGAATCGAAAAGGGAAAAAGAATTCTTCTTACGTGTCACCACTTTGTTTACGATTGGTGCATCTCTTTCCTGTCCATCTCTCAGGACTTGGATGGTATAGACATATTCCACGCCTGGAGTCAAGCCAGACACAACGATGCTTCCTGAGTCTGAAGTCACTTCTCGTGGTGCCTCTCCTCCCTGGCTTGGTCGAACACCCAGCTAGAGGAAGGAAAGCAAAATAAACACCAAGGCAAATATTTCCAGAGCTGTGTTACTGCTGTGAGGTTGTGATTATGCTTTAAATAGTGTGAACTCTTCAGAAACTGCACAATGTACTTTTATTAAGAAATGATTTGGGGACTCTTTTATATACTTTAGCTGGAAATTCCCCAAGGTAGGGGAGTGATCTTCCAAACTGCATTAAGGTGGCTTGTAATGAAAGGTTCCAGAGAAATGGCATTACATATTGCTTTGCTTGATAAAGAATCTCTTGTTACAAACCAAACATACACGGGACTGTGGGCCACATGGTAGTTCATTTCTGTTTTTTGTGTGTGTGCTAGAAGGAATGACTGAGCTCTCTAAGTTATTCACATTCAATTCACCTTTTAGTTGCCATTTAAAGGCACTAGCCCTTGTAGCAACTGTTTTGGAAAAACAAACCTTTTGAAGAGATATGTTCATAGCTTTAACTGCAGGATGATACATTATAAGAGAAGAATAGCTATACCCATGATTTAAAATCCTTTTAAGATTCTATTTCAAAAGCTTAGGTAACACTGTGTCATCAAATAGTGTTCAACTCTAGAGAGATCCTTCACACATCATAAGGCTTCTGAAAGTCAGCACGACATTATTAAGGGAATTTGAAAGGTATACTGGCAATCTTCAAAAAGTTCCTCTATATTTGAGTAGCATAATCATAAATATGGCCATTTATATACTTCATCTTTGGTGTATTTTTTAAACCATCAAGGGGATTGAGTCCTGATTTCCAGCGATAACAAGTATTTGTCTCTTCACACTAAATACCAAAGAACGGAATTCTTTTAAACTTACTCATTTGTATTCATCACTTCCCTAATATCATTACTTTAAAGAATATAAATCCAGATATCCACAGGGAAACGTTAATCTTAACTTCTATTAAGAGATTCCCCCGCAGCGCTTTGAACAGTTGGAGATGAAACTGATTGGATAAAAATGCGATTTTTTAAGTGACTCTGAGTTTCATTGGTCTCCCTAAATTGGCTTTTGTGAACTTGTTCACACCCATTTAGAACAACACATCAATGAAGTTTTCCTGTTTTTTTTGAAATGTAATTCCCTGTGGGAAAGAATAGAGAAAATAAGATAACAACAAGCAACAGCTTCATACTAATGTTTTATCCTTTGCGAAGCACTGTCAGAGCCTCTGCCCATCCTTTCAACAATTCAGTGAGGTAGACAGGGAAGGATTGTTAGGCCCTGACAATGTAATCAAAGATGTATGAACAGAAGCAGGTGATAAAACCCAGGTCTCCTGACTCCTGAACACCCTGTGTCCACCACATGAGAAACACAAGGACGTCTCAGGGCTGTATCACAGAAATTAGGGACATCTGCAGTTTACCTTAAAACCAATTCTTGGAGCAGGTGTCCATGTGATCACAATGGTGGTCTCAGTCACCTCAGTGTTGTAAGGTGGAATGGAGCTCCCCGGCTGCACTGTGAGAGAAAATCAATGCACATATTCAAACCTCAAAAATCACAGATGATTGCGTAGAATATAGATAATAAGTATTTTTATGGAGAACCTCAGTTTAACCACACAATAGATAGAGAATGTAACATATATTTTTTCACTGGGTGAGAATTGGGAGAGGATCAGGCTTCTCAATCTTGAATGTGCCACATACGTTATCTGGGGTCTGGCTAAAATGCAGCTTTTGTTTCTGGAGATCCAACAAAGAACTAGGGAGTTTGCGTTTCTGACAAATTCACAGATAATGCCAATTCTGCTGGCCCGTGAATTATACCTGAGTAACAAGGGGTTACACATCTTCTAAGGAGGGCTTTTCAGTAAATTACAGAATCTAATTCATGTCTTTTCATTATTGCTGGGATTTGAGTTTGATGACAATAAATTCCCCTATATTGCCAGTATAAAACCCCTTATGAAACGTAAAACTGGCCACCACAAACTGATTATCATATTGTTTCTTAATCATTAATTTAAGAACAATGGTTAAATTATAGATGGTTATATAAAATCAGCTTTATGCTGGGCAGGGATCAGTGGCTCACACCTATAATCCAGCACTTTGGGAGGCTGAGATGAGTGAATCACTTGAGGTCAGGAGTTCGAGGTCAGGCTGGTCTCTGGTCTCTACTTTTAAAAGAAATCTTTTTTTTTTTTTCTGAGATGGAATCTTGCTCTGTCACCCAGGCTGGAATGCAGTGGCTTGATCTCATCTCACTATAACCTCTGCCTCCTGGATTCAAGTGATTCTCCTGCCTCAGACTCCCGAGTAGCCAGGACTACAGGTGCCTGTCACCACACCCAGCTAATTTCTGTATTTTTAGTAGAGACGGGGTTTCACTATGTTGGCCAGGCTGGTTTCAAACTCCTGACCTCAGGTGATCCACCTACTTCAGCCTTCCAAAGTGCTGGGATTAAAGGCATAAGCCATGGCACCTGGCTTTAAAAAAAATTCTTATTTTTAAGTAAAAGGTTTGTTTTGGGTTTTAGTAGCAAAAATTAATAAGGAAAGAAAGAAAGAAAGAAAGAGAAAAAAAGAAAGAAAGAAAGAAAGAAAGAGAAAGAAAGAAAGAAGGAAGGAGGGAAGGAAAGAAAGGAGAAAAAGAAAGAGAAAGAAAGAAAGAAAGAAAAAAAAAAAAAAGAAAGAAAGAAAGAAAGAAAGAAAGAAAGAAAGAAAAAAGAAAAAAAAAAGAAAGAAAAGAGGCATGTATATATAAAGTTAAGATAGAGATTTCCAAGAACTTTGCAAATCTTATTATAAATGTAGAAAGGTAAGGTCACGGAAGGCCAGATATTTTGAGATGGGTAAGTTAAGTTCAAGGGTATCAAGTATATTAATAGCCCTGGTCACACTGATGTCTCCACAATTCTTCCTCTCTTTACATCTCAATCAAATTTTGTTCCCATTGGAAAAGAACCTCTGAATGCATTTATACTAAATAATGAATGGCTGGCGAGACAAAGCATTTGTCTCCAGAGTTATACAAACAGGGATTAAAAAGTGTTCAGACTCCAAGTCTCAACTCAACTCTGGTCAATTTTTTTTTTCTTTTGCCATGTGGGAATTTAGAATCAACATTGCCATTCTCGCATTTTTTTTCCAGTCTGGATTCTAAGGAGCAATTTTTTATTTTAATTTTAAAAATACCATAGGCTGGGTGCAGTGGCTTACGCCTGTAATCCCAGCACTCTGGGAGGCTGAGGTGGGTGGATCACCTGTGGTCAGGAGTTCGAGACCTGCCTGATTAACATGGTGAAACCCTGTCTCTACTAAAAAAATAAGAAAATTAGCTGGGTATGGTGGTATGTGCCTGTTGTCCCAGCTACTCAGGGAGGCTGAGAAAGGAGAATTGTTTGAACTCGGGAGGCAGAGGTGGCAGTGAGCCGACATCATGCCACTGCACTCCAGCCTGGGAAACAGAGCAAGACTCCATCTCGAAAAAAAAAAAAATGTGAGAAAAAGTCAAATACATGTGTGGGCCACTTCATAATGATAGCTCTAATGGATTAAGGTACTACTGGTTTCGTGAGCTGCTTCATCTATGTATGTTGTTATTTTGATGGTGTTTGGTGGAAGGCAGGGGTGCATGAATAGGACAGGTGACCACTGATGCCTTTTAGTACCTCTGAAATTATACACCACTTGGCTGCTGCTGACTCTGCCAAAATGCCATGGCCAGCCCTGGGTGACCATTTTTAATGGCCCACAAAAAAACAATTCGGAGAATAGTTAGTTTCTTTCACTGAACATCTGCGAAAACCACAACTTTTTCACAATTATATTCTCCTCAACTATCCTGGACTTTAAGATCAGGTATTTTCTATGGTTTGAGCCAGCCAGTTAAAGTCTTCCCAAGTTTAAGATGATGCTTTCTGCCTGGGAAGGCGATTATGGGAAAATCACCAAACCACAAACTCACAAACTGATGTCAAACAAAGGATGTGATTCTAAGGGTGAGCTATGGGTTCTGGCAGGCCTTGTTAGGGAAGAAGAGCACAGCTGTTAAAGAAATAAAATTTGCCCTATCAATACAGGAATAAGCTGAATTTCCCCCAGAAACAGCTTTTTCCCTAGCATTTCTCACATTAGCTCTTAAGAATTTAGCACAAGTTACAAAACTCAGAAAAGTTATTCCCAGAATTCAGCTTAATAAGATAGTAAAAAACTAGAGAAACTTAGTAATTTCAAAAGCATGTAAGCCCTGCTGATGTTTACAGCTTTAGGGAGTACTTAAAGTTCAAATGGAGTTGTAGAACACCCTGCTTACATTAGTTTATTTAAATATAAGCTTCCTTGAGCTGTTTTTAATTCCTTCCTCAATTATCTACTCACCAAATAATTTTTTGAAAGCATAAGCTGTGCCAGACACTATGTTAACCTTTATCTAATAAAATCAGTTTTGGCTATCAGTATTTCAATTAAAACAATTATATTTTATATGAAGGTATTGTGCAGAGCATAAAATAATATATCCAATATACCAAAGTCTTCAGAAGAACTTGAAAAATCTTGACCCACAACCTTCCCTAAATTATTGTTAGCATCATTAAAAATGCTTTTTCTTTTATAAGCACTGTATTCAACAAAAGAAACTATGTAAAATATGTCTTATGTTAAGGAATGAAAAAGACAACTATAGAATTCTACATTTTAGTAAAAGACAACATCTACTGAAAGGGCACATTCACTGAAATCTCTATTCTAATTCACCGAGGGACATTTATAAGAAATGAATATTTATAAAAAATATAAAGACATTAATTTCATGAGAGTAGATTTTAGAGTATCTTAGAACCATGTAAAATTTTAGCAAAAGTTTCAGGTAAGCTTATTTGCAAATTAAAAGCGAATTTTACTTGCTTATGATTAACTATTACTTAGGAAAAAGGCTTCATGGGCCAAACTTCTTACAGCAAATTTAAATGGAAATAAGTTTCTCCTAAAATATGAATTCTTATGGGGAAAAGTTTATATTTTCTTTGGGAAATCAATTCCACAGTTATTTACAAACTAGTCTTGTATTGACTTTTTGAATGCTTTTTAACCTCCGTACTTATAAATTAATCAGAGAGTAACATTTGTTGAAAGCTCTCAGAAAATTGCAAACTCATCCATGGTTACAATATATGCTGAAAAAGTGCTTATGTTAGGTGCTTCCGTGATTCAAAATGTTGAGTTGAAAATAACAAATAATGTTCAGCTAGAAAGAAGTAGTCTTATAATTCTCTGTGATAGAAATGGAAATGTATTTAATAGAAATCAGTTTGTGAATAGAGGTCTTTATTGTGATGTAGATATGTAGAAGATTTAAGACCACTTCCTTTAAAACGTTGAGCAAAAGGACAGACATGACCAAAAAATATTGTTAGCATTTTTCTCCTCTGAGGAATTTCAACCGTAATTTCAGAAAAAAAGCGATTCTGTCTGCAAAAGTACTTTAATCTTCTGGAGCCAACACTCGTAAAGAAATCATTTCCTTGGCTTCTTGTTCTATCAGTTGGTTCCCATTCAATCTGTAGATATTTTTTATTCTGCATTTTATAGTTACTATTCAATACCCAAAGTGATAGAACGTGGACATAGGTGCTAATTTTTTCTTGCCTTCACTAGCACTTGGTAAATTCATTTAAGGTAACAGAATTGAATTTTTCTAATAGCAGAGTGCTTTAAACCCATGTTACTCAAAGTGTTGGACCTAGAGGAAAGATGGCACTTGGCAGTATGTGCAAATGCACACACTGCTTCCCTCATCAAGAAAATCTGGCTTCAGAAAAATTCTCAGCTGTACTGAGCAGGGTGCTTTGTGATTTACATTCTGGCACAACCCTTTTCCTTGTTGCAGACTAGCAGCAAACAATGAACAAGGCCAGCAGCCAGTCTATCGAGCACATTTTTAGTATCACTGCTTTAAATTATGTACTAACTTTTTAATGTTTGTTTTTTTTAAAAAAAAAAAACAAACATGAAGAATAGAGAACGTAAAATAGTTAAGCATTTGATTTGCAGCTTACATGTGGAAAAGACTCCAGTGACTTTGGGGCTCTGTTGGTTGCCCTTTATGGCCACGAGGGATACGGTGTACTCAGATCCAGGCTGCAGGTTCCTCAGTGGGTACTTCGAGGCAGAGGGACCCACATTGTACTGCTTGGGCTGGCCTCCTCGGGTCGGGCCCACAGTCAGTCGGTACCCTGTTATCCGTGCCCGAGGCCGAGTCCATATCACCAGGACAGTAGAATCAGTTTCATTGACAAACTGGAGGTTAGTGGGAGCATCCAGTTCTAGGAAAAAAGAAGAAACATGCCAAGAAATATTTAGATCAGTGCTGATCATCACTCAAGTCCTGAAGCTTGACTGAATGTCTAAGTTTTCTCTCCTCAAGGTTGCAACTATGTGAAAGTCAAAACCCTGGGAAAACCGAGCCATTAAGAGATAGAGTGCTACACAGAACTTTGCCAAAACTCTGCCAGTCATGAGAAATTGTGGAACCATTTTGCTTGATCATCAGGAAGTCTAGTTTTCCAGCACGACTTTCCCACCATGCTCAGAAATTATAGTTATATTACAGCAATGGTGTTTTTAAAAAGGCAAAACAAACACTTCTGAACCTCACAGTTTGCCCTGAGCCAAACAGATTAAGGAAAGAAGGATATGCCTCCTAAAATGACAGCAAGAAGAAGCTCTCTACGGGTCAAAAGCAATATTCTGTGAATATTCCTTTGCTGGAGAAATAAAAGTTATTTTCACATGGTTCAGATTAGATAATAATTACAGTAATTATAACATATACTCAAATCATCAGATTCATGGTAGGATACTGGTGAATTTGCACTATCACAGTCACAAAAATTGTGGAATTTATTCTTGAGAATAATAACCAGGAATTTTTCCCACCAAAATTTAAATAACCTTTCAAATAGAGGAAATCTTTAAGAGGTAGTCAAGTATAATAACTGAGAGCATGGGCTTTGGACATAGGTTACAGAGCCAGCTCTGTCCCTTCCTATCTCTGTGACCATACAAGTTGCAAAACTTTTTAAAAGCCTCAGTTTCTTTATGTATTTGATGCGGATACTAGTAAGGCCTTCTGGCTGGGCACGGTGGGTCACGCCTGTAATCCCAGCACTTTGGGAGGTCAAGGTGGGCAGATCATTTGAGGTCAGGAGTTCAAGACCAGCCTGGCTAACATGGTGAAACCCCGTCTCTACTAAAAATACAAAAATTAGCTGGGCATGATGGCATACACCTGTAGTCCCAGTTGCTTGGGAGGCTGAGAGAGAAGAATCACTTGAACCCAGGAGGTGGAGGTTGCAGTGACCTGAGATGGTACCACTGCACTCGAGCCTGGGTGACATAGTGAGACTCTGCCTCAAAAATAATAATAATAATAATAAGACCTTTCTTCCTAAGGTCAAAACAAAGAGTAAATATGAGAATAATGCTTGTAAAAACTGAGCCAATAAGCCGGTGGCTAGTAATACTAGATTCTTGACAATTGCTATTCTTAAATGAATTCTACTGTAAATGTTATAAGCCTGCATTTTAACTTTGACCTAGATATATTTAGCTACATAAAAACTGCACTCAGAGTAGATTCCCCTCAGTTCTCCCCGCTTAGAATGCTTCCCCTGGTACAGGTATTTTAGAGATGGGTTACCACTTAGCACCCATGGAGCTTGTCTGAGTTTTGTTTTCAAGTTTAACATGCTTTGTGTTCACTATACATTCCCTTGCCAGCTGGGAATTTTCCTCTTTCTAAGCCATACACCTCTGAGTGAATGGTTTGCTGAGCTTCCTCACAGGCTGGGAGTGAGGGTGGAGAATTTGGAGGGGAGGTAAAGTTAGGAGAAGACTCACTGGTTGTCTGTTGGGCAGTCAGAGGCTTGCTCTCCCTCCCATGGTTCACTGCGAAGACTTTGAAGTAATAGGTGACCCCGGGGGGACAGCCCGGTGACTTCTGCAAAGGTGTTTCTGCTGATAGGCAGCCTCTGGCCATGCTCCCCAGGCAGGTTGACGGGGATCACATCCACGCGGTAGCCGGTCACCACACTCTCAGGGGGTGTCCACATGATGGTGACCTTCACGTCTGTCACTTCCACAAACTGCAGGTCCCTGGGAGAGGGCACTGTATCTAACAGACAAGAGTCAACAGATCATTCACATTTTCTGCTAAAGATTTTTTATTTTTAATTTTTATTGTTTTTAGAGACAGGGTTTCACCACATTGGTCAGGCTGGTCTCGAACTCCCAACCTCAGGTCTTGGCCTCCCAAAGTGCTGGGATTACAAGCATGAGCCACCACACCCAGCCTTGCTGAAGATTGTTTTTAAGAAGCCAGTTTCTTGGCTATGTTAGGCAGGTCATTGAGCCTCTCATTTGAGAGTTATGCTAAGGTTTGTCTCTTAATCAGATAATATTTTCATGGTCCAGTCATCGTGCTTAGATTATGACATTTGAAGCTTTTATCTAAAACAGCTAGGTAATAAATGAGTTACCAGCATATGAATTATCATATGGTAGTTGGGGGAGGGGGTTATAAAAGAGATGCTAAAAAAAAACCTTTGAAATAACTGCAGCAAATAATGTAATGGTTTTTGTCTTACTGAAGCATTTTATAATACTTAAGAATCAAAGATGAAATGAGCCCTAAGCTCCTGGGGAAAAATCTGTAGACCGATGTGATGGTGTTGGTTTTTAATCAGAAAGGCCAGTACCCAGCCTTGATAAATTACTTATGACATTTCAGCTAAATATCAGAAGTTAAGGGAAAAACTAATATGTAAGATTACTTGAATGTGGGAAATGTTGACAGAGACAAAACAACCCTCCCTCAGGAACAACCCTGTTAAGATACTATAAGAAGTATCTTCTTGAAAAAGTTACCTGGACGTGGGGTGCCAGTGGTTTCTTGTTGAATGACAACAGGAGTACTTTCTTGGTTTTCTTCCACAGCATAGATAGTGATGTTATATTGAACACCAGGCTGCAAGTCACTGAGGGTGACGGAGTTTGCAGTTTCAGGAAGGTTGAGTTCCGTGCTGCTACCTTCTACTGATGGCGAATAGACTATTCTGTACCCTGTAGATTCATGAGCAAAAGTAAAATGCACTGTTTTCTTAGAGACAGAGGCTTAGAAACACCATAAATCCTCCCTCTTCTAACAGCCCTTAGCCTCTTGCTTGATTAGTGAAGAGCCAGTGATTCTTTTTGACTCTTTTAATATTGCCACTTCTTATAATAATGACTATTCAGCAAGAAGATAAAATAAGAACAGTCATGCAAACCTTTTTAATAATAAATATCATCCTTGAAGACCTCAGATCCTTAATAAATGTCAATTAGAGATGCCATTAGGGGAAAATATTCATGTTAAGCTGATTTTTCCTCTTTGAGCTCCAGATGATGGAAGCAATTAATGAAGCAGCCTGAGCAGAGTTGTCTAGCATTGTGTGTGTCTTTTAGAAACTTCAGTGATGAGGCAGTTAAATCACTTAATGAGCTAAGAAGGCAGCTCAGCTTTCTCCTTCAGAATAAATCTTAGAGCAAGGTTTTCAGGAAAATTATACCTGTTCAATGCTGGGACACCTGCTTTAATAAGCCAGTGAGCTGACTTTACAGGCTGTGTGTGTGTTGTGGTATGTGTGTATGAGGGAGTTGGTAAATGGTTTAGTGGGGAAATGTGCCCTAGGAAATACCCCTCCACATACGCACATATACACATCTCTCCCATAAATTATACCAGAGATTTCAAGGGATACGCAGGTCCACAGTCAGAATCTACTGACATCGGCCTTCCCACTAATGCCATTAAGATTAACATAGCAGTCAAAGCAGGGGTTGGGGGTGCTCAGCTGACCTGTGATGGGAGCCTGCGGTCTGCTCCAGCGAACAACAATTGAGGTGTCATCAACTAGGTCCACGGTCGGGTCAGGAGGGGCATCGGGCGCTAAGAAAGAAAGAAAGGAAGTGGGGCTGACAGTCAGGAAGTGCTGCTACAGGCCTGTGTTTTACAGAAAAAGATTCTCTTAACATTGTGTAGCATCCATGTACCTGTTGTTTGCGAAGTAGACAGGATCAAACTCTGTTCCCCGTCCTCAGATATCTGATAGACATTTACAATGTATTTTCGGCCAGGAAGCAGATCAGGGATGTTCACGGAAGTGGCTGTGCTTGGAAGATCTTTGAAATGAAAAGGAGAGGTTACTAATCAGAGCAAACTAATCCCTCAAATGACTCTACAGATTATAAGAAGAATATTTTAAGAACTATATATTCACAGGAAAAAAAGACTAGAAGGTAATGTGCTAATAGACAATCAGTGATTATCATTATTTTTTTTTACACAAAGTCTTGCTGTGTTGTACAGGCTGGAGTGCAGTGGCATGATCTCGGCTCACCACATCCTCCACCTTTCAGGTTCAAGTAATTCTCCTGCCTCAGCGTCCCGAGTAGCCAGGATTACAGGCACACACCATCATACCTGGCTAATTTTTTTTGTATTTTTAGTAGAGACGGAGTTTCACCATGTTGGCCAGGTTGATCATCTCGAACCCCTGGCCTCAAGTGATCCGCCTGCCTCGGCTTCCCAAAGTGCTGGGATTACAGGAGTGAGCCACTATGCTCGGCCTAATCAGTGATTATTAACGTACTATGGGATGATCCCCCTCCTTGTCTTTCTCCTTTCTCTTCCTCCTCCTTCTTCCTTTCATTTTTCCAACCTTTTCTTTAAAGATGTATAATTCTTGTAATCTAATGCCAAATTTTAAAAAATAGCTCTCTGCAGTAATAAGTCAGGGTTGTGATTATTGGCAGAAGACAATGGGGTGAGAGTTTAGAGAGATTATTTTTCTTGATCTGGGCGCTGGTCTCAGGGTATGTTCACTTTATAAAAATTCACTGAACTCAGTGCTTACAATTGGCGCACACTTCAGTGTGCCAATATCGTTTTTTAAAGGTCCCTCACCATAAAAATTTGAAAAGTATGAGTGACGATATTGAAGAGGGAGACCCAGCCTTCTCAGATCAACTTCCCCTTTGACTATCATGCTGCATTTCAATAGAAGAAAAGGTTGACCGACTGGCACCTCCGGTTTTATCTTCCTATAGGTGACAGGCTAGGCCTTGGGGAAACTCTTCAAAAGGCACTATTTTTACTTAAAACAAGATCAAACCAGAAACCTTTTCACATGTGAGTCCTAAAACTGTAAACCGGAACCCTTTCATATGTGATTCCTGAAACTGTAAACCAAAACTTTTTCACATGTGAGTCCTAAAACCATGAACTTAAGATTCTTCCACGTGTAACATCTAAAGTATAAGCCTATATAAAGGCAGAACCTTCCTTTGTTAGAGGAGCTGGGTTTTTGACAAATTACTGTCTGGTCTCCCGGCCGAATAAACTCCTCCCTCCTTTATTCGGTGTTGGAGAGATCCGTTTCCCGCGGCTGCTCCTGCTACAATGCTGCGTTAATATTGTCAGCTGCAGTGCTGGTACTTACTTCCACTAAGAAAACAGCTTTTGCTGTAGGAATTTGTGTCTAGGTAGGCCATGATGCAGCTGGCATCAGGGACCAGGACATGTGAGAGTGGCTTGGGGAAAACCCGGTCACTTCCTAGAGCTAGTTCCTTCCTTCCTCGTGCCACAGGGTGATTTTTTCAGTCTCAGCTGTCAACCAGTTCCAAACCACAGATACCACCTACCTAGAGGCCCCCTCCCAGGGAAAGTTTTCCAGCAGTTGCCCCAAACCTGTCTTGAGCAACATGTTGAGCTTACCCAGGTACTGTGGCTCATCTCCTTCCTCACTCAGCTCATATTCCACCCGGAATCCCGACACGGTGTCAGAAGCTGAGACCCAGGAGACCACAAAGCTGCTGGCTGTGATTTCAGTCACAGATTCAGAAGTGGCAACAAGGGGAGAAAAGGGGGTCGTCTCTCCTGTCACGGTGTTGCCTAGAGAGTCACAGAAAGGGGAAAGTCAGTCTTTAGCCATCTAGAAAATTTACCGTCCTCGATACAAACATCATTCAAAAAAATGTTGGTGCCACTCTTGGTAGAATATGAATTGAGAAGAGCTCAGCTCTGGGAAACTTGGGCATAGGAGGCATGAGGGTAGCCAGGTACGTACTGGTCACAGGTGAGCTTGTGCTAGTGGTGGTGAAGTCAAAGCGAGTCACTTCTTGGTGGCCGTACTGCTGGATGCTGATGAGCTGGCCCTCGTATACCACACCAGGCTTCAGACCTTTGATGGTATAGGAGTTTAAGTGGCCTGGTATGGTAGCTTCCTTCCAACGGCCTGCAGAATTTTTCTGAAAATTTAAATAAACACACACACAAGTGTTTACAAGGACAAACATGTGAAGATGAAGTTCAGTAATCTTCAAAGAAGAATGGGGGAACTTAGGCAGCTCCATTCTAGAGGAAAATCACGGAAAATAATGGAAAACTGTATTCCCAACAGTTACATAGGTAGATATAATGCCAACTATTGTGAACATCAACAAACTACTGCAGGTTACCTACTGATAGCCATGCTCTGTTTTGTTACCTGCATTCTCCCATCTAGTCTCCATACCCTCTAATGGTGAGGCAGTGGCGTCATTGCTCCTGTTTTATGGATGGAGAAACAGAGTGATATGTGATATTGCCCAGGGTGATATAGTTGCAGACAATGGGCACCTTCACTTTTACCAAGTTAATTATCTTATATCAGTAACATAATATGATGAACCTAAGCTTTGCCTCTCCCATATATTTTTTATTCCTACAACAAACAGATATATTCTTCTCTGAAGTATGGAATTGCCAATGCCATATATTCTATCTTTTAACTCAGTGGGAAACAATTCAAGTTTCTTGCCCTGAAAAAACATTCAAAGGCAGAATGCTACTTTGTGACTCAGTTCCTGGGGCCATCACATACCAGGTTCAACAAGTCTGGTTTTCTGACTCACTCTTGGATATGAGCTAGCCCATCAGAAGTGGTTAGCCAATTTTGGACAAGACTGCAGAAAAAACGCAATTTTGGTTTATTTAGTCTTTTGCTTCCAGTTTATATTACACATCCTGTTCCACTTCATTAATATGCTATGGGTCACAAACTCAGTGCAGTAAAATGTGTGTGAAAGAAACACTCTTCAGACAAGATGAGACTTTCAAGTGTAAATATTCTAAACTAATATAAGTCAAAATATATTTTTTATGCCCAGTGATTTTTAAAAGTTACCCAGTCAACCAGTTCCTCAATAATTCAAATACTCAAATGTCCATTTATATTTTTGGAATAAGCAAGAGTGATCGTAGTACTCTTTGCAGTGAAGTTTTAACTCAAATACACTTCAGAAAAATTTTTAAATCAGTCATTGCAATTAGCTCAAATTTATTTAGAAATTATTTTTCAACATGAGCTTGTTGGGTTAGTTAGTAGGAGAAAACAACAGAAAATAAAGTCTCAGGTGGCATCCATTAAAAAAAACCCTGAATTTTTATAATGGTTAAAATCTCAAAAAATTCATCACTGCTGCTCTTTGAAGACTTTCCAATTCAAAGCACATTTTTCTTTTTTTTTTTTTAAGATGGGGTTTCACCATGTTGGTCAGGCTGGTCTTGAACTCCCGACTTCAGGTGATCCGCCTGCCTTGGCCTCCAAAGTGCTTGGATTACAGGCGTGAGCCACCACGCCTGGCCTCAACGTACATTTTATACGTACTTTTAAGTGTCTCCCACTGCAGTGGTCTCACATAATACTTCGGATATACTTAAGTTTAAAGAAAATAAAATTAGTGTTATAATAAAAAGATGAGAGACTAGGAGGTCTTGGATCACTGATGCTGCTGACTTAGATCACTGGATATCAAGTTCTACAAATGGCCAGATTATGGAGATTACAAAAGAGGGTGAAAGAAGAAAAAGGATGATTTTTTTTGGATGAGTTCATGTCCTTTACAGGGACATGGATGAAGCTGGAAACCATCATTTTCAGCAAAATGACACAAGAACAGAAAACCAAACATCACATGTTCTCACTCATAAGTGGGTGTTGAACAATGGGAACAGATGGCCACAGGAAGGGGAACATCACACACTGGGACTTGTCAGGGGTGGGGGTTAGGGGAGGGATAGCCGGAGTGGGGGAATTGCAGAGGGCTAACATTAGGAGAAATACCTAATGTAGATGACGAGGGGATGGATGCAGCAAACCACCATGGCACGTGTATGCTTATGTAACAATCCTGCACGTTCTGCACATGTACCCCAGAACTTAAAGTATAAAAAAAAAATGACTTTTTTTCATTCACCATTTGTTAAGCAGTGAGCCAGATACTAAACCATTCTAGACTCTAGGGAGAATACATTGAGCCAATGAGAAAGACATGATTCCCCTCTCTAAGAGAATCTGTTTTTATTCTTCTGATCTTGTCTCCAATAGACAACATGCTTACACCTCTGTTTTTTTAAATTTGTCCGCAATAGATCATATTTATAGACTCTAATATGAAAGTTGAGGATTTTTTATATATTTATTTATGTTGAGACAGAGTCTTGCTCTGTCTCCCAGGCTGAGTGTAGTGGTGCCATCTTGGCTCAGCACAACCTCTGCCTCTCAAGCTCAAGCGATCCTCCGGCCTCAGTCTCCCAAGTAGCTAGGACTACAGGTGCATGCCACCATGCCTCGCTAATTCATGTATTTTTTGTAGAGCCAGGGCATAAGCATGTTGCTCAAGCTAGTTTCGAACTCCTGGGCTCAAATAATCCACTGGCCTCAGTCTCCTAAAGTGCTCGGATTATAGGTGTGAGCCACTGTGCCCAGAACAAAGTTGAGGATTTAGCTCAGTAATATTATCCCCTTTCCTCCCAGAATCTTGGAGATTCCCAGTATCTGACATTTGTATTGTTATCTTTCTTCTTCTTGTCTTTATATTTATAATTTAAAATATTATACTAAGTATTCTTTTTTTTAAGCTTCATCAGCTTTTGGTACTATCTCTCTTGATTCTCCACTTTGAAAGATAAAGCTATTACCTCCTCTCTTCTCCACCTTCCATATTCACCATTTTTCAAGTAAATATTTACTTTTTATTTTGTCTGGAAGTTGCAATGAAGTTTCCATGACTCATCTATAGACTGATTGCCTCATGCATTAGGAGTATATTATTTTTAATGAGTCTAACAGCATGATTGTTAGGTGGATCGAAGTTTCCAGAATCCAGGTTCAATGAAATTTTTCCTCTCTTTGTTTTTGTACCTTAATATTGCCGAAATTTAGTTTGCTTCATATAGGAATTATTAACTTATTATACATTTGGGGTTTTTGTTGTTGTTGTTTTGATTTTTGTGCGAGACAGACTCTCACTCTGTTGCCCAGGCTAGAGTGTAATGACATGATCTTGGCTCACTGCAACCTCCGCCTTCTGGGTTCAAGCGATTCTCCTGCCTCAGCTCCCAAGTAGCTGGGATTACAGGCGTACACCCATGCCTGGCTAATTTTTGTATTTTTAGTAGAAAAAGGGGTTTTGCCGTGTTGGCCAGGCTGGTCTCGAACTCCAGACCTCAGGTGATCTGCCCACCTTGGCCTCCCAAAGTTCTGGGATTACAGGCGTAAGCCACTGAGCCTGGCCACATTTGGGTTTATTACACATTCCTCCACCTGATTCTCACGTTGTTATTTTAACTGCAATATTTAACCCCGTGATTAATTTTCTCCAAGCCTGCTTTTTCTATAAAGTCCCTCTTTTTTGTTGGAGACTGAAATCCCTGATTTCTCAACCCAATCCCCATCTTTCTGTTCCATCTGTATTGACTGCCCTCTAAGCCAGCAATGCAGTTCTTGTGTTGCAAAAGTTTTCCACCACTGTCAGGGGTCTGATTTGGAAGCACTGTTTGCTGGACCCCATAACTTCCTTCTTATTCCACTCTTGTTTCTCTGGAGTATATCCACAAATACCCTTAAAGAAAAGGATGTATAGAAAATAAACTGCCTACAATCTGTCTGAAAATGTTATTTTGCCCCCACATTTTGATTGACAACCTGGCTGAGTACAGAAGCCGTTAGAAGTTTCTTTTTATCCTTGGAACTCTAACACATCAAAGATGTGTCTAGACGTGGTTCTTTGCACAATTTTTCTGGGCACTCAGGTGGCCCTTTTAAATCTGAAAAGTTCTGTCCTTCCGCTTTAGAAATTTAGAAAAAGAATCATTTTAACAGCTTAAATTTTTCCTAAAGAGTTTAAATTTAACTGTCTGGGTTGGTCAAATTTTTTTTGTTTGTTTGCAATTGTAGAATTCAATAGCTGTGATTTAAAATGGACATTTTTTTTTCTTCTGTGTTTAAAACAGTGTTTCTCAAATTATGAGTTATGAACTTTGGGGTTAAATAGGGCAGGCTTGAGAGAGTAAGAGAAACTAAAGCTAAATAGACCGATATTGTCCTTATTTGGTTTCTTTAATTTCTAGTCAATTCTCATTAGCAGATCACAGGGCTATACCTTAAATAACCAATTGCTATTCTTCATCTAAACCTCCCTCCCATCATCTCTTTTCCTTCTATCTAAATAAATTCAGTGGGTCAAAAGTAAAGTTCTGAAAATGATCACTTAAAAAGTGAATCAAAAAAGAAATATATTGTCCATTTTTTTTTCAAATTATAAAAATGATGCCAGTAATTTTCCTTTGATGAGGTTGTAAGACATTTAAAAACCTGAGATTCTCTTCTCACATTAGGCAAGTACAATTTTAAGCATTATCATTTCTAAGTCCTTGCAAAAAAGATTTCTCTAACATAAAGAGATAAATTCTTCCAAATATCAACCCCTTCCCCCGAAGAAAAAACAAAACAAAACCCAAAACGAAAACCAAAAATCCTTCAATCTACATGTCAATTTAATTGACCACATATTGTTTGGTCACTAAGCAAATATAATAAATGCTAATAAATAGATAACAGACTTGTTGGCTCAAAAGCTGGGGGAATAAAAAAGAAACCATCAGAATCGGATAAGGTCAGGAGATTCAGTATCCAAGGTTTCTGGGTGGGATACTCACGGGTTTCCATCTGAGGATGTACTTGGAAATGTGAGATGGTTGTGGTGCATTCCACTGGATGGGGTGAGAGTTGGGCTGACTCGGAGTCTCAGTGATAACTACTTGGACAGGACCACTTGAGCCTGAAAATGAAAACGTTTAACATTTAATTATCTTGGATGTTCACTCACTTTAGCTTAAAACTTTGTGTATGTGGATGGTCATCATTACAAACAGCTTTGCTTATCTGTAAATGTGAGTATAATAAAATTATCTGGGATTAGTCTTTTAAATATTTACATTGAAAATCAAGGCAGCAAATCCACTTTTCGCTGATAATTATTATCTTTCACATGAGAAATGCAAATTATAGTTGTTTATAGCAAATAAAATACATTGGTAAAACAAAATCTTTGCTTGCTTTTATTTTCTCCATTATCAAAGAATTATGAGAATTGTGAAATGAGCCTACAAAAATAATATAATACAGAACATAAACTTCATTTACTGATTGTATTGAGCCTCTTTTAAAGCAAATTCTAACTTTTGAAGGTTTTCATCAAGAATGAATCTACTACCTAAGAAGGAAGCAACATTTCAAAGGCCATACGAGATGATGTAAAACAAACACATTTCTAAATCAGGGTAAAATCTTAGGCAAATAGGCAAAGGTAATAATTAAAGACCTAGTTTTATTTCTCACCAGTCTAAGCAAGCTATCAGTTTGGAAAAAACATCTAGTTTTATTTTTATTCAAGAAATGTACTCTCAAATCACACCATTGATCCATCAAATTATTAAGTGATTAAATTGTTTTTTCCCGAAATCAGTTGTCAGTGGAAATGACTTTATGAAGTATATACTAAATTCAGTATTTCTATATATTGATGTATATCACTGTTATCAACAAATTTTAAAGTATGGTTTTGGTTCTTTTGTTTAAAAAAAAGGAAAATAAGGGAAATAGCATCAATTTCTACATAGTGTTAACTCCATTTAAGATAATAATGAAATAGCTAGAAAATTTATGCTTGCAGAACAGAAAACTGTCTTTTCTTAAAACACTATCTTTATGATGTCAGTCAATGTTTAAATTACTCAAAATAAAAATTGTCTTATAATAACGTTTTCAAGAATTTCTACCTGACACTGTCAAACAGAGCAAAATTTTGCATGTTTAATAAAGCACTTCACCAGATTATTAACAGATTTAAGTTCCCTGAAGCTTCTAGGTAAAAAAATACATTGATTTTCAAATTTTATTATCTAAGCTGTTAAATTCTCTTTGAAAACAAAGCTTCCTGTAGCAGAAAAATATATATAACTTGGATATTCATATAGATACAGAAATCCTAGAACAATATACTCACTTCCACACCAGTAACAGTTCAAAGGTGGCTGAAGATTAGCAAATACTTTGAATCTTAATTTCATTTAATGCACACATTTCCAAGCCACATGAATACCAAAATTCAGGCATAAAAATTATCAGTTTGTCATTTTAAAGTTGTATGTATTTTACAAAACACACAGGATGTTTGTTTTGATCAATTGGCAGAAGTCAATTCCACGCCCCTCTTTGAATTACCCCTTTTGTTTATGAAGAACTGTACAAATGAAAACACATTTTTAAAGACAACTACTTAAGGAAAATTTTGGAGATGTGACTATTTACTTCCATGTAAATCAGGAAAGCTAGGAATATCATGTCCTTAAATTATTTATAATAATTGGCATAAGGTTATTTAAATATTGAATATATAAATATTTAAAGAAATCCTAGTACAATTTCCTCCATAAAGAGACACCTGATAGACATTTTATTTAGTTTTGTCAATCATGATTTTGAGGGGGGATAATCTTATGATGGTTAAACCCCTATTAAGTTTTAGAAAGACAACATAATTGGCCTTTACTATTCATCTCTAAGCCTAATCATATTTCTATATCCACAAGGACACAAGAAGGAGGATAAAAACAGGCAGGGAGAGGAAAGTAGAAGGGTCCTGCAATGGTTTTTACCCCAGCCAAACTGGAGCAAAACTACAGAGGCCCCTTTTGCCTTCATATGACTTCAAGCACCGGTCTGAAACTCTACGTTTTAAAATTTAGCCTTGTGTCATAGACCACCTTTAAAGGCCATGGGCTGAACAGCAATGAAATTTACCATGTTTTTGTTCAGGAACTAAAGAGGCTGAGGCAGTTATTTCTTAGGTTAATTAAATTCCTGTTAATCACTATATTCCAGCTTATACTTTGTATAATTACTCTAGCTTATACTATGTACGCTTTGAAGACCAAAAAGTTAAAAATTATGCCATCATTTATGGTATTTAGATTTAAATGTTTGACAATCCTTTTGCTACTTGTAGTTGGTATAACTTTTTAAATATTTAATTGGCATATACTAGCTGTTGCCATTGTGAAATCTTTACTCCCTCTCTTATCCAATATAAATAAACAAGAAAATAATTGAGATAATACCAGGAAAAAATGTCTACACTTTTAAAATTAGTTTAAAATAAAGTCAAAATGAGTAATTTCCAATAGTGGTGACCTTGCAGAAGTTAAACATTTATAATTTTTTGACTCAGTCCTTTTTTTCCTCTATTTAATTTGGGGAGATCTGTGATTTTCTAGTTGCTTATTGACAAAGCAAATGCCTCTTATCTTGTGTTAGTTTGAGCAACTCTCCCAAGTTCTCTGTAGGAGGAACAAACATAGCAGGGCTCAGAGACAATCTACTGGTAATTCATTGTTCCTTTATTCACACCACACTCTTAAAGCCCTCGATGCCAGGCACGAACCACTGAGCAAACCAGACATACAGATAAGCACCAAAGAGCATATCCGAGGTCAAATGCCAATCTCTTCCCTCCTAAATCTCCTCTATGCTCAACGGGCTTTTGCTGTTCTCCTTTTTAAAGACTAGGAGTAAGGTCAACATGTAAAACTCCAATACTGAAGGGTTTATTCTTTTCCAGATTTTGTCTCTTACATGTTCGCCTAATTGCTTCCAGCAAGCAGCTATGTGGACAATCTTATTTTAAGAGAGACAAAGATCTTTCTCAATCATTTTCAGCAAATTACCACACCAATAACAATCATAAACATAGAAGCTGCAGAGCATTGCTTTAGAAGTTTCTACCATTTAAGCATCATTTGCATCATGTAAACAAACAAACCAAATATATACTTACAGTACTTCCTCAATCAGATTTAAATATATATTAAGTTACAAAAAATTAAGTGATTCTTACACCCACATCCAGAAATACAATTTAGGAGGTTGGCCAATTTGTACTATAAGCCTTCAAAAGCAAAGTCACCTTCCTCAGCACTGACAGTGTCTGAGGGTTGGGAAAAGCAGAATCTTCCAAGTTCCTAGAAAGGTGCATCTGGGTGTTTCGTATTTAGGATGGAACTTTAAAGGTAATCAGTTACAATCTCCTCATCATATTACAGATGAGGAATGGAGGAGTGAGGTTTGGCTAACACTACCTTTGGCCAAATTGTTCCCATAGCTTGTTCTCTATCACAGAGAATCTCTTATCACATAGTTAATTTAATCTTCATTTCTGTTGCATGCAGATTCTGACACCCTGAAACTCTCTCTTTTTGTTTCTGAATGTAGGCCATATTTGAAGTATAACATTAGTGAAGAATTTTGGAGACTTTGCGCTTCAGCACTTGCTCAAATAACTGATGCCTTTTAATTAGCCTTTCATGTTTTACTAACACATTTTATTATAATCACTCAGTGAATATTTAAATGTAATTTTCCCCCCAAATGAATTAATTACACCTAAAGGTAGGTATGATGTCTTTGTGACCTGGAAAAATCCAGCAATAAACATTTCAGAGTGTTTGAACTGTGTGGGCAGAAAGTTGACCAAGTTACTCAACTTTTGGCCCAACATACGGTGTTCCTTGTTGCAATTGATCAAATAAATGAAAAGTTTGACACAAAGGGAGCTTAAACAACAGGTTGAATGAACATGTACCCTATGTTGCATTTCATGCCATCTCTCTACACAGGTTTTCTGTTAAGAATCATAATATAAAACCCCAGTATACTCCCAGCATAACTTACTTGGTGGTTTTTATTTCCATGTATGGATATAAGATGAAATTAGCCAGACTGTCTTAAGATAATGGAATATTTTACAGTGTTAAGAAGTAAAATTATAGACAGGAGCATTTTCATAGCCTTTTCTACCTTTTACTTGATAGAGGAAGAGAGAAAAATTATTTTAATCAACAGTTCAATTGGTTATTAATAATGGGAGAAAAGGGTGAGAAAGAGGGAGACCCCAACTTAGGAATGAGAACATTAACAATCACTACCCTGTTGTTACAACCATTGGCAGTTCTCAGCTTATAGTAAGAGAGCTACTTACTTGCATAAGTCTGTAAAGGTTGGCAATGCCACTCCCCAATGCCACGGCCATAGCAATAGCACTGGTATCTGACACCATGCACATACTTCTCCCATGAATCTCCAATTTGATAAAATGTCCCAGTCTCTGAATCCTGGCATTGGTCTAAAATACATGCAAGGAGAAGATGAACAGCCTTGAAGACTTACAGCTGTGAATTTAATTTCAGAGTGCTAGAGCATACATTTAGTTTGAATAGAAATTTGCAACTGTCCTTACAAATATATGCAGTTAAAAAAATATTTTGTTCCCATTCTTTACCTTACAGGACAATTTGTAGTTTAAAAAGAGTACCTATTAGGAGGAATATTTAGTTTTCTAAAGGGTAATATTTCTAAATAAACATGTAAAGATTTAGATTTCAGCATATATTGATAATCTACATATTAATTTTAAATATTAGCTATTTTTACCCATATTAATGTAACTGGCTTAACATTTGAATCGCAAGGAAAAAATCTGCAATAATTTCATTTTCTTCTGCAAATTTTAAGGAAAATAATTTGACGTTTAAATGAATGAACTAGACTTTAACTGTGAGTATTTGCTGAGCAACTTCTAAGAAAACCTCTTAGGCTTCTCTCTCAGCTCGGGCAATCTCATATCAAACAACTGATACTATCAGTTTATTTTCTTAGTGAGCAACTGGTCTCTTTTGGTAAAGAAATAGTAATGGATTATCTTAAACTTTGTAGTTCTGGTAACACAGCTCTTTTAAGGCTCAACCTTCACAATTTGCTTAGTTCAACTTTGAAGGGCAGCCAAAAAAACCTTAAGAGTATTTTGGAGGGTGATATTTACTGGCATAAGCCTTTGCTCATGCTGTTGCGCAGCTGGTAAGAAAACAATGCTTTTCATAGTATGGACTATCTTTATGATACTCAACCAAAGAATAAATTCCAATGAATTAAAGTAAGTCTAAATGTATCACCAAATTCAGCAAAAAACAGATGACTACCAATATCGAGATATTTGGGTCCAGGATTAGAGAGAAGACTTTGCAAGGCTCTTTGCAAGCAACCGATCAAAGCCTGGAGCCAACTTTAGTCACATGATGTCACATAGCTGTTCTCATCTGAAGCTTGCTAACCATTCCCCTTGTGCAAACTCATCTAGGGAAATGGGACTACTCACCAACGGGATCGCACTTCCATCTGCCCCGACCCTGGCCGAAGCACGTGCAGTTCAGCATGTGCCCCTCTTCATGACGCTTGTGGAACGTGTCATTCACATTGTAAGTGATGTCATCAACAATGCACTGATCTGTTTAGGAAACAGATGGGTGGGTGAGAAACTTTCTAAAGTTCCACTGATAAAAGAAACAGTTATGCTTCTCAAATGATACAGCTACTTCCGCTTAATTATCAACAACTTCCACTAAAATAACTTTCCTACAAGCATGGAATAAGCTTTTTTTCAGTTTGGTCAGTAATAAAATTTTTGCCAAAAAATTTTTTTTTCACCCAAAATCTTATAACTGTAGCAGAGGTTACAATATGCTCAAGTAAAGAATGTGGTAAAATACACCTTCCTGTGAAAAGCCAATATTTGAACAAATATATGTCTTACTTTCTGAAAATTTCTTGCTTAGTTGATAATTTCTTTTAAATATCTGCTTGTTAGGATAAATAAGAAGACTAAACATATTTAACACCCAGCATGATGTGGTGGTCTGGTCTCTGGAATAAGGGAAGGGGAGGAGATATTTAGATTTGGTAAATAAAATGTCAATTGTATTCACCACGCTGAAATAAATTAGGCCAACTCTGTTGTTCACTCTCTGAGAGATCCTGAGAAAATTACTTTTCCCTTTTTGGGTCTCAGCTTCTTGATGTATAGAGTGAGGTCTGTATGTGTTATTAAGGTCTCTTTCAGCTCTGCAACACCACATGTAATTATCACCCCTGGATGGTGTTACCCACCGGACGCCACAAAAGGAGAACAAATTCAGGCCAGTATCGACACACTAGCCACATACACCATTAGTAGCTCAGAGTTCTCCCTGCATATTGCTTTTCAAATCAAAGAATGGAAAACTAAAACAGCTTAAATAAGTCAATGCCTCCTCATATTACATCGCTGGATGCAAAGGAGAAAGACTAACCTGAACAAGAGAAGTCAGTCCCCTATGTATTTGTCTCCTCAAACTTGGATCTGCAAGGATCTGATTTTAGAATAGCAAGGTATTCGTGTCTTTGCAGAAATTATCCTGTCTTTTCTAGACATGAATCCAGTGGCATAGCCTAAAGCTGAACGGATCAAATGTTCTGTTTTTACCTTTGAAATCATCTTTTTGGCTCAGCCTAAGTACTTACATCCTTGGAGTGTTTCAGAACGTTAGCACTGCTGTGCCAGCCTGTCTTAGCAGGCTGCCTGAAAGGCTTATCTTACCAAGCACAGTAGACTAATGAATGAAGTGGCATTGCATATTTCTTCCCCTGCTTTTGGCAAAGTACAAGTTTTCATAAAAAAGTCTCCCTCTCTGTACCCTTTGCCACCTCAAATGCTTTCATTAATGAGCCAGCGTACCTCGAAGCTGCGAGTAGGCAATGCACGTCCATTCCCCACGACCATTCCCAACACACGTGCACCTCATCATGTGACCCATGTCATGCTGCTTATCCCACTGATCTCCGATGCGGTACATGACCCCTTCGTTGGTTGTGCAGATTTCCTCGTGGGCTGTTTGGAAATGGACGAGAAATGCACTTGATAAAGGATCACAAGGTCTAAACAGGAATGTGTGCAACAGGATGGGTTCAGTTTGGTCATCCTAAGAATTCTCACTTGGGAAGAAGCCTTGTGTACGTCAAAGAAATTTAAGTGCTGTTAGGTGAAGGGGGAGAATGTTTGAGCCCTGGAGGCAGAAACCATGAAGTATGTCATAGAGAATAGTTACAGGAAGGGGTAGGGAATGTTGAACTAAGGCAATACCTACACGTTCACACAAAGGGTTCATGCCGTGCTAGAAGCCTAGACTTCACTACTGCTTCATAACGTTTCCCAGTTCCAGTTTATTCTGGATCAAATAAAAACGATGTGTTTGGATATAGAATTTTAAGCAAAAGTGGGTTTTTTCTTCTAAACTCAACATTTTCTTCTGTTGAAATGAGAGAAGTCAAAGTGTAAGCAGTTTCCTTGTCTCACAGTCACACCTGACAGTGTCAACTGCACAGGTTCTTGGTTCTAGAACTGGAAAATCAAAGGGAATCTACAGGATTCTTGAAATTTGAAAACAAGTAAAGTGTATTGGTTTCCATTTGTTCCCCCTTTATACAAACTGGAGACCTTTAAAAAAAAAAAAAGAGCGAGATTCCCTACCTGTTAGAAAACATTGAGTTTTAGTCGCTTTGGTACTTATTAATAAGTGATAGAGCTTATGCCCATCAAGCCACAATCATGAGACAATATTGTAGCTCTGTGACTAAAGCAGTCATATATATATATATAAAATGTTGTAAGTGACTCAGTTGTGTACTCTTTACAAACACAAACCTGTGCAAATTCATATTTCCAGACTTACGAGTAAGTAATTATACTTAGACATTAAGTCATGTCAATGAGGTTTAAAAATTATAAAAATAATTATCTAAGTATTCTTCCCAATCCTTATGTATATGATACAACATCTCACACACACACACACACACACACACACACACACACACACACACACTTTACATGAAGTTTCTGTTGTCTCAAAATGTCTTAATGAATGAAATAGAAGTAAGCTGGACACGAGTCTTTGGTCTCTACTCCCTAAATGGTTGTCAAAAACAGCGACCCTCAGAGGCTTCATCCTTACCAGCCATGGGGCAGAATCCAAACTTCTGGTCAGCGTCATAGTTCTGTGTGGTTCCACACCACTTCATGTTGTCTCTTCTGCCCTCAGAAGTGCAATCAGTGTAATTGTGGTTGTTGTACAGGAAGGGGAAGTGGCACAAGGCACCATTGGAATTTCCTCCTCGAGTCTGAACCAAAACTGCCAGGAACAATACACAAAAATGAAGGAAGAGATTACCACTGAGCTTTCAAATAGACACAGAATTACTGGTCTGAGAGAGCCAGGTTTCTGCAGCTAATTCACAGAGTCTATCTCAGAATAAACTACGTCTGATAACATAGTTCTAAGCTTCTTTGTGTATTTACCTTCACTTTCAAAACATTTAAATCCCATTCTCACCATCATTTCCCCAGCACCCCTTGCAAAAGATTAAATGATAACTTTGAATAAAACTTTGTTTTAATCAGAAAAAAAGCTAAGGCACGAAAACATTCATCCTGTGTGTTCCTCAGCCCTGTGGGATCACCTGCTGATTCCAAAATACAAGTGTCTTTAATCACATCATAATCCCAATGTGTTAAATCAATGAACTGGAAGATTATTCCCTTGGTCATTTCCAACAGCACTGGGGACGATGGAAGAATCCTTAGCGATTATGAGCTCTGTATCTCTTGAGTCCAAACTGAACAAAAGCGATGCTTCTTGGGCAGCCTCAAAATAAATGGCAAGAATGCTGGCAAATAGAAACAGGGCACGAAAGGTAAGTTTTTCTCACTGCTGTGGTTCCCCCTTGGGACACTCACCAGTATGGTCTGTGCAGAAAGAATATCTCTGGTCCTGTTCATAATTCGAAGTGGTGCTGCACCAAAGATGTCCATCCTGTCGCCCTTCTGTGGTACAGGAGTAGAACGTCCTGCCATTGTAGGTGAATGGTAAGACACACGGCTCCCCATTCGAGTTTCCACCGTAAGTCTGGGTTACAGCTACAATCATAATCAAAAGAGGGTCAGTAAACAGAGCTGCTTTATCTCTCTCCAGGAGCTGCTTATTTATGGCTTCAGTGAGCTGCTGAGCTTGTGCGCTCAAAGGAAGAAGCTGTGAGTATAGATGATCATCTTGTTAATTTCAGTCAAAACGCATTACTCAGGAATCCACGTCTACTGTGGATAGAACAACACCTGAGTTATTCTGCTGATGTCCTTCATTACCACTTCTGCTGCCATGCCTCAGTTTCTCTATTTATAAAGCTATACTTATATAAGCCAATAAAGATGCTGCTTAAGAATGTTGGGATAATATGTATGACTATATCTTTGCCATAAAAATTAATATATGAGGCTATTCTGGGGGGAGAATTATGTACCAATTGTTATTGCCATAGTTACTACCACGTTTGTAGCCCAGAATACATACATTAGGTTATTGGAAGATGTTTACACCACAAAGCTGGTGAAATTTGACATTTAGAATATTAAATATGGATAATTATTCAGAAAGTAGCTCTCTTGTGACACTTTAGACACAATAAAGACAATACAATCTTTACCCACGATACTCATGACCAGAAAGAAAATACATAAATTAAAAAGATTGGAAGAAAATATTTCAAATGCCAACCTGATTATTATCACAGGGTGGAAAGATTACAAGCTTCTCTTGTTTGTTTTACTGTTTCACGTTGAATGAATGTATTGTCCTTCAAACACTAAATAATAAAGTCATCCGTCCCATTCTTTGAAAAAATAATGCATACCTGTCTCTTGGCAGCTGACTCCATTGCCCAGGCATGTGCAAAGCATTTGCTTATTTCCTTGTGTCTTCAGCCACTGCATCCCCACGGAGTAGACTACACCACTGTCTGTGACACAGTGGCCATAGGGGGCTGGCTGGGGGTGAGGCTGCGGTTGGTAAACGGCTGCATGAAGATCAGTGAAGGGGCCAGATCCTAATGGCATGAGAAGGGAAGGTCACAAAACTGGGCAAGAGGAGACAATTCTCTACTTTCTGCAGTCAGGATCTTCAGGATCTCACAGAGATCACTCTGAAATCCATGTCATTACTGGTCTGGGACTGGAAAGAAACGTCCCTTATTTGGCAGAAGCTTTTGCGTTTAGCCTAGGAAATAATCCACAAGTGTCTACCAAATGGTCTCCATCCTCCAGCTCAGCTGGGGCTACTGGAATTATATTTCTTTTTGTTTGTTTTTTGTTTTTTGCTTTTTTCTGCCCAGTCTGTTGCCCAGGCTGGAGTGCGGTGGCACCATCTCAGCTCACTGCAACCTCCACACCCTGGGTTCAAGCAATTCCCCTGCCCCAGCCTCCCAAGTAGCTGGAATTATAGGCACATGCCACCATGCCCAGCTGATATTTTTGTATTTTTAGGAGAGGCAGGGTTTCGCCATGTTGGCCAGGCTGGTCTGAAACACCTGACCTCAGGTAATCTGTCCACCTTGGCCTCCCAAAGTGCTGGGATTACAGGCATAAGCCACAACGCCTGGCCGGGATTATATTTCCAAATCACAGACATCATGTCGGCACTCCATACAGCAGCTACCTTCAACACATCCTCATTCTTCTGTGTCACTGAGCTCATTAGAGGGTGCCTTAGGCAGCTGTCCTGGATTCTCTGGGGGTCACCTCTACCTTCCACACTTTATTTCTCCTCAGGATTATTTGTGATTCTGTTGTGTTTTTTCTAAAACCAATGGATCCTCTTAAGACAGCTTTCCTTTCATAATAACACAACAGGATGTGTCAATCTTTTCTTTCAATTTTTAGATATCCGTTCTCTTGAGGGCCAGGGCCCACAGCAGAACAGAATCAGGGCTGATACTAGACCGAAGGTACACTGGATTCAGTGCCTCCCTAAGTGTCACTGAACACTAGAAACCAAAGATGTTTCACAGACAAAGGATCCCAAGGTCAAATGTACTGGGGAGACATGGTGCCCATCCCCTACACTCCACCATGGAGCATCATGATGTAGAGGAACACAGAGATTCTGCAGAGCAGGCTCCATTTTGTTTAACCCATTGCTTCTCAAACCTTTTTCAACAATGGGATCTTTTCGGTATGGGCAATATTCATAAAAATAGCTAACATTTATAACGTGTTTATTCCCACTTGATTCCCACCTACTCTTCTAATCTATTTTGGTAGATTGACATTTATAATTTTTTTAGTCAATAGCAGTTTGATTGACGATAATCAAATACCTCAAATATATTATCAAGTCTAATCTTGTTCGCCTTCACAAGTGCTCAAAGCAAGACAGACATTCATCAAAAGAAGAAAAATTAGAACAATTAATATTTTTAACTAAAGGATGGCTGAGACGCTATGTAACAATGTTGGCACATCATATAGTAAAAAGTTGATCAAAACATATTAAAAATAATAAGAGAGGCATGCCTATCCTTGTTGGCCATATTTCTCTCTTCAGATTTTTATGAAACATTTATGATGCAAAAATCTTTTCATCATACCAGAAATGATTAAAACTTGTTTTTTATAAAGAATGCTTACATAGCATGTCTTTCATGCCCATCTCTAGGTCCTGTCTGGATTTCTGAAATTTTGAATGCCAATACATGAAGAAAAGGGTTGTGTGTTACTTTATAGAATGTAACAAAGTTTGCTGGAGCATGGAAACCACATTTAAAGAATGGTTTCCACTAAAGCAAGAGCTCAATGTCAGGACAGGGAAGTATATTTCAATCTTTATTTTAAAAAAATAAAGCAAATGCACTTTTTTTGTCCTTTCCTAGCAAGCAGTCATATAATTAATTATAACCCTCATTTCCCTTTCAATGAACTTTGGATATTCAAAATATGTGTGTGTGTGTCTGTGTGTGTGCGTGTGTGTCTGTGTGATCTATTTATGGTAGCTTTTATGACGCTAGCATTCTTTAAACCTCAGCTTTATCTTTTGGAGCTACATCTGGCTTTTTTTCCCCCTAAGATTTATCTGCATGCCATTTTCACTTTTTTTCTCAAAAATTAAAAACCTGACATTAAAAAAGTTTTAACAACCCATAATGTGTAAATGATCTTAGGTTATTAGCTGAAATGCTGCAAATTATTTCAAATGGCATGTCAAAGGAAAGACGGGTTTGCAGAAATATTTCTTGACCAGCCTCCCCATCTCCCGCCCCTGCTGGCCCTGCGCCTCTCACCTCTCGATGTGGTCTGCAAAGAGGTGTGCCTCTCACACTTCCACTCTCCTCGGCCGTTGCCTGTACAGATGCACTGGAGCAGGATTCCTCGACTATCCTTCTTGCTCCAGGTGTCTCCAATTCTATAGGATGCCCTCGTGTCCTGATCGTTGCATCTATCTGTGTCACAAAGGGAGCATACAAATACAGACATCAGGTCGAGAGTGGCAAGTCGTCCATTCAGACTTAAAAAAGGAATGCTAGCCATGCATGGTAATATAAAAATAGCTACTTTTAGCAATATGCTCATATTCAGCTCTGGTGCTGCAAAGTATTACACTTCTGAAAGATGAAATTACATTTGTTACAGTGGAAAGGGAGCTGAATGGTTTAGTCTAGTTTCAATCTGTCAAACTACGTTTTCATCCTTTTATTTATTTATTTATTGCTTTCACACTGTTGCTTTGACTAGCTTCATTCTCTGGAATGAAGGAATGATGGAATAGATGGAATGATGGAATAGATGGCATTCTATTCCATCTTTTTCCTTCTCAGGTTCTCCTAGGGTTTCTCTTAGTCATCACTACGGGCTGCCTTTCAATAGAGAACTTGCTTTAGAAAGCTAAAAACAGGCTGGGCATGGTGGCTCATGCCTGTAATCCTAGGTGGAACACCTGAGGTCAGGAGTTCGAGACCAGCCTGACCAATATGGTGAAACCCCATCTCTATTAAAAATACAGAAAAAAAAAATGCTGTGTGTGGTGGTGGGCACCTGTAATCCCAGCTACTCGGGAAGCAGAGGCAGGAGAATCACCTAAACCCAGAAGGTGGAGGTTGCAATGAGCCAAGATCACACCCTTACTGCACTCCAGCCTGGGTGCCTGGCGTGGTGGCTCACGCCTATAATCCCAGCACTTTGGGAGGCCGAGGCAGGTGGATCATGAGGTCAAGAGATCGAGACCATCCCAGTCAACATGGTGAAACCCTGTCTCTACTAAAAATACAAAAATTAGCTGGGCATGGTGGCGCACGCCTGTAGTCCCAGCTACTCAAGCGGTTGAGGCAGAAGAATTGCCTGAACCCAGGAGGCGGAGGTTGCGGTGAGCCGAGATCGTGCCATTGCACTCCAGCCTGGGTAACAAGAGCGAAACTCTGTCTCAAAAAAAAAAAAAAAAAGCTAAAGATAATGGGAAGGCAAGTAGGTCACAAAGGGTCTTCACCCATTGCTACAAACAAGCTATAAAAAGATGGCAACATCTCTTTCTTCATTTGTTGCATAAAAAATTCAGTGGATTCACAATTTCTTTGACTAAAATGTTCTTTTCTCTCCCGCCTACCCAAACACCTACAATATTTAAAAATCACTAGCAAAATAGCCTCAAATTAGTCAGTGTCAGCCCTCCAGTGGAAGAGTGAGATCAATGTAAAATGGTAATTTGTGGCTAAATAGCCATTGGTCTGTGTCCATTTATCTGGCAAATAGATTATTTAAGTTATAATCCAAATTTGCTCTGTGCTACGATGTGAGTATAGAGGATCTGATTTCTTTGCGGTCAGATATTGTTGCAACTACTGGGTTACAGATAAAAACAATTAACAGTTGACATAGGTTCAAACAAATATACACCCACATCCATCTACCATAAGAATAGAAGTTTGCGTGAAGGTATAATTACTGATTAGAGCTTTTCCCCAAATCTCCCCTAAAATATTATCATCCCCTGAACCTCCATAGTATTACTTTCAGTATTTCTATTAAAACTTTTAATATTGTGTTTTGCGATGATAAATATGTATAAAACTTACTCATCTCCCTGACCCCCTAAGCGCTCTTTGAAGACAAGGCTAATGTTCAATTCATAGCTACACCCCTCTAATACCTTGAACAAAGTTAAGTGCTTATAAAATTTTCTAGAATAAATGACTTTTCTTTGAGAAACTTTTCCCAACTTGCTATTCAAAAAGTTCTAAATAATAGATAAGGTTTGAATCAGACATCTAATTTCTCTTAAGCTAAAATATTGCCACAAAGATCTTGGAAATCTGATCACAATAACATTTTAAGTGCAAAATATCTAATAAACCAGCAAGTTTCGGTCAGAAACATTACCACTTTTCATGAGAGACCTATTTTTTTGTTAGCAAAGAATCTGAATTTGGAGATGACTATGTTAAGATAGTTAAATGTTTTAAGGTAAATAAATAAAATAGGTTCAAATTATTTGGTTTTGTTTTTAAACTTATTTATAACACAAGTAGTTCATGGCTGTTTTACTTCAATGAACTCTATAGTTGCTATTAGTTTAAAATTTCAAAAAAGGAGCCTTGAAACTCGAAGGCAATAATTAAGACCTCAAGATAATCTTAGAAGGAGCATTAAAGGTGCCAGAGGCCAGCTTCTTTACATCACGAATAAAATGTGTTAGGTCAGAGACATTATTCTTAACTCCAGAGTAGATAAATCATTTTAACCTATGGGATCAATACTTTTAAATTTTATCAATTTAGCCTATGAATGTGCTTTATTTACATTTCAAACATAGAAGGAAGACTAAAGCTTTTGTTCAACTCTATGTCAGTGGCAATGCGGTGAGATTGAACCTTACTGAAACACTTTTTTTCTATGTATGCAGTCTTCTCTGAAGATACAGAATCAGTTGGTTATGAAAGTTTTCTTGACATCCAGAAGTTATCAGAGTGTGTTGGTATACTGGATGTGTTCTAAGTAACACAGTATTACCCTTCTCTCTAGGAATCCAGAAAACAATACCTGGCTTAATCTCTAACATAAATACGTAAAACATACTTCTAGACGTGCAAGTGATGCGTCCGCTGCCTTCTCCCAGGCAAGTACAATCCACCATCATCCAGCCTTGGTAGGGCTTCTCCCAGGTTTCTCCGACCACATAGGAAGTCCCAGCAGCATGATCAAAACATTTCTCAGCTGTAGGGAAATTTGGAAGAAAAACAGGAAAAAAAGTTATTTTGAATTGTGCAAGGTCCCTGTAATTTAAAGTGTAGCGTGTAAGCAAAAATTCAGCCACATTTTTTTTAAGTGGCACTCTGTTCAGAAAGAATGACACACCCAGCATCTAAGCACACAGTATGTAGCCAAGGCAAAAGAAAGCTCAAGCTGAGTTGGCAGGCAGAAATTCCATCCTCCTAATAAGTACATGGACTACATATTTTCAGCGAGCCCCAAACTTCCCACCAGCATTTCCAGTAGCAAGGATCTATGTATGTATCTAGTCTGTGGAAGACTACATATGCAAAATTGCAATGCTAATTATAAATGACCAATTATAAAGTTTGAGTGGCCTACATAAAATAACCAAAAAAGCTATTTAAAAAGTGTTGGAAAGCAAAAACAACACAAGACAAAAGCCTCTAAATCAGAAGATAAGTAAACAGATTAAAATTTATAACCAGAAACTTTTGGGCCTATAGTTACAGAGTTCAACTTAGGATTGAGACCAAAAAGAAGCTCAACAATTTTTATTTTGAAAAAAAATTACCAGAGTGTGACAAGCACACACGATTTCATGTTTCAGCCCAGGACATTCCATGTAGAAATGTGTTTAAAGTGTCATTTTTTTCTTTTAAATAAATTATATCTCGATCAAGGAAGAATCTAAGATCAGCTATTAGATAAATGAATAACTTCATTCTAAATCTTTCAAGTCTAATTTGCACTTTTGAAGCAAAGTTAAGACTTCTACGTGTGGTCAGTGCTTTTTGATCTGATTCCTGTAAGAAGACTATGGATTGTATAATTATTATTTCAAATAAAATTCCCATTTCTTTATTGGTTCTCACTGGAATTCAGGTCTATGATCTATATAGATATGATTCTGGTCCAACCCCACATTAGAACTAAGCATCCCCAGCTCTTGCTCAGCACTAAGACTCACAAACCTATAGGCTTGCAGGTCCATTCTCCTTTTCCATTGCCAAGACACACACACTCTAACATGTAACCACCAGTCTCATGTGGTCTCCTCCAGGTGTCGCCAATCTTGTAAGACTGACCCCCTTCATGGCAGCGGTCTGTTGAAGATACAAAGCAAATGTTAGGAGATATATATGTACATATATATATATATAATTTTTTTTTTTTTTTGGTCTCATGTTCCACTCACAGTAGGTCCTTGGGTTGGCCAAAGTAGAAACACAGACAACAGTTTTCCCATCAGAGAGAGGGGGAACATTAACAGATCTGGCCACTTGGAGTCAATTCAATTAAGTGTCTGGCTTAGAACACAATGGAAAACCACAGAGAAATCTGGATGGCAAGGAAGAGGTCATAAATCCTGGTTTCCCAGAGAGATCACAGGAAATTGGGTCCTAAGCAGAAAAGAAAGGCTGGGAGGCTTGGTCTTCACTCATACACAGCAGGCTAAGACTAAGACTAATTCAGTGAAAAGGCCACATCAGGCATAGCATTCCAGCTTTTGGGAGCATGGAGAGCCTGTATTTCACCTTAGGATAGAAATGTCATTTTGGTGGAAAGCAGACATATACATATAAGGAGTGGAAATTCTGGTAGTTTTCTAAGTTGTTAAGCCCAATGGCACAGTCAAAGGCTGAACTAGATTGTAAACACTATGGACCCTTGCCTCTTGGGATCTGCCCACAAACTTGGATAAACCCTAAATGAAGTATGGGGAGAGTAGATTGGGCCTATTCACACAGGACTTGCTCTTTTGAATAGAAGCCTTTAAGGTGACTTATATTTAAAGAATGGATTTAAAAACTTAAATATCATGTTAACAGAATACATTCGTAACCCAGTGAATCATACTGGAAAGAGTGCCTTAGCTAAACTTGATGAGAATCAGCCTGGTTTCCAAAGTTCCTTAGCAAACACTATTGGGTTAATAATGTTGTATTATCCCTAGGAATAGGGACATCTGCTTCCTGGGTATAAGCTACTGGTCACCAAGAAACCAGACTGTTTCTGTGAGGTGCAAGAGTTCTCTGCATTGCAAACAAGAAGAGCAGACAACACATGGCTGGTGAATACCTTCCCAGTCGCTGCAGAAAAGCTTCACAATTTGTCTGGCTGGAAGATGTCCAGGTGGTTTAAATGGGCAACTCGCCTAAGCATGTCTTACTGAAATGAAACCCAAGAGGTCTCTTGATTCTACTATGTACACAAACACACGCACTCACAAATGCACACACATCAAACACAGATTCCATCTGTGCTCATATCCATCTTTAAGAAACACAGGAACCAGTCAGGTGACCACTTCAGAGTACCTGGTCACCAGGGATAAATCTCAGAGTTAGGAATAGCCAGTCATGGATAACAGAAAATGACAGTGACGGTAACAGAAATTCATATTTATGATATTTTGGGGTCACTGTAAAGAATGTCTTCCTTACTTGCAATAGTGCAGCTTATTCTCCCTCGCCCAGCTCCGATGCATGTACAGTCCCAGATCATGGAGTCTTTAGGACGCTCATAAGTGTCACCCACTCGGTAAGTGTTCCCAGTGTACTTGTCAAAGCAAGTCTCTTCGGCTGGGGGAGAAGGAAAGTCCATGTGAGCCTCGCTTAGGTACAAGGTTTTCTAGTTCACTAATCCCCTCCAATGGAAAACTCGCTTTTCTATTCTACAAATAGCATAGTACAACCACAAGTATAAAATGAAGTAAAATAAACCGATTTTTTACTCTAGGCTCTAATAAGGCCATGTTTTTTTTTTTTTTTAACCTTGAAAAATTCTCAAATTTTCTGTGAATTATTATATTACAAAGAAATCTCAGGCCCTTAGGAAAAGGTCACATCAAATACTAACTTATGACAGCTAGATTTGTGAACGGTTTCAGATTCCAATCGCTGACTCAGGAAGTCAAACAAAGGTTCACATAGAAAGCAAACAATTGGCTGGGCGTGGTGGCTCATGCCTGTAATCCCAGAACTTTGGGAGGCCCAGGTGGGTGGATCATCTGAGGTCAGGAGTTTGAGACCAGCCTGACCAACATGGTGAAACCCTGTCTCTACTAAAAATACAAAAATTAGCCAGGTGTGGTGATGTGTGCCTGTAATCCCAGCTACTCGGGAGGGTGAGACAGAAGAATTGCTTTAAGCCGGGAGGCAGAGGTTGCAGTGAGCTGAGATCATGCCACTGCACTCTCGCCTGGGCGACACAGCGAGACTCTGTCTCAAAAAAAAAAAAAAAAAATTGAAAATTCTCACCTCCCACCAGGTACTGATATTTGTTAATCCTACCATTTCCATTTTCCCTTCATCAGTGCTTCTCTGACAGAGTTGCTATAATTTACAAGAAAGATATCAATGGTCGCACAGGAATGAGAACTTTGAAGTGGCTAGTGGTTTTGTGTTAACTGCAGCTGACAAATCATTTTACAATACAGCGTCCAAAGTGTTTTCTGGCTCATAAACTTATAGTTAAAGATTTGAGACTGCTTTCTAATAAATTAAAATTTTATTAGCTTTTTTTTGTGGGAGGACACACAAAATCTTTCACTTTCTCATCAAAAACTTTGGGAGAGTAAAGCAAAAAGAAGACTCTAGGAACTAATCTGGGAAAGATTTGTTTCTTTGTTTCAAAGGTAAAACCACATGAAAAGCAAAGATAAGCAGTTTTTAAATATTTATTAAGAGGAAATGAGAGGTAATTCTATTAGAAAAAAGGTGTATGTAGTTTTACTTACTAATGCAAAGTTTAACAATGATCACTTCATCTATTAAAAGACACTAACTATGGAGCTTGTGGTCACTTACCTTCAGGTTTGCTCTCGCAGTTAAAACCTCTGCTTCCTCCATAACAAGTACAAACCAAGGCATTGCCCAGGTAGGTCCGCTCCCACTGTTGGTTTATCTGATAGTGTTTCCCATTGTCATAACAACCAGCTGCAAATAATTGAAGGAAAAAGTTATTACGTTTCCATTCCTCCTTTTCCCCAAATTATGGAATTTTCTTTATGTGAATATTTAGGTATATATTTTTTTCCTTTTAACGTTGCTAAAGGTTATATACAATGATGTCATTTCCATCTGGCCAGTGGTCTACATAAAAAAAAAAATGTGATTTCAATTGTCTGCCTTCAATTGGAAGGCAGACAATTGAAATCACATTTTAAAAACATTCAAGGAACTTCAATATTCTTTTGGAGTAATAGTCAAAAAGGACAACTTTAATCAGGTCTCTCAAAGCAAAGGGAGGGTGTGTCTTTGAAAAACTGAAAGAATTCCAACCTCTGTTCTCAGTGAAGTACCCTGAGTGGCCCTAAAGAGCTCAGAACTAATTACATCTCTTCCAAGTTAGTTAGAAACAAGACAGCTATTTCAATATCCCCTTTTCACTCTCATTGTGAAAATATTTGACCCATTATTTAACAGCAAATAAAATAACTAGTAGTAAGGACCACACTCATCCCATCCGGAAAATTTGTCGGCACGCATTATTTTTCTCTTTAAAGGCAAGTTTTGGTTAATTCCTAGAAAGACAATCTGAACGTGCAGAATTTATCAGAACACGGGAAGATCGCAGAGTCCCCATCCTCCAATGCAGAATCTTATCATCCCAGGCCCTCAGAACCAGCCTGCTGAAAACTACATCCTTTTGTGTGCACAGCTGGCTTCTCTCAGCAAAGCGCGTACACCCACGCGCACACGCGCGCGCACAAAACTTCAGCCCCAACTTTGGTCGGCTTCAGAGTCCCAGCCCTGCGGCAGCCTGTTTCAGCCCACGGTCGGTACTCACGCTTGCTTTGACTGACAGCCACCGGGGACGGGGGCTGAACGATCTGCTGAGCCTGCCTCTGGCTCCTCGAGGCTCCCGTGGAGGGCACCGCTGTCCCCAGACACAGGGCGGCCAGCAGCAGCCGCAGCCCGGGCCCCGGACCCCTGAGCATGTTGAGATGGTGGGGGAGAGACGCCCTCACCCGGAGGCAAGCGGCCACCAAGTCTGGGTCCCTCCGCAACCTGCGGGAAAAATCCCTTCCAATGCCTCCCGAGGGGTGGACGCCTCCAAGAAGGTGGGGGCCAGATGGTGGGGAAGGGGACGGGTGGAGGGACCGAGGGGATGGAGAGGACCAGAGAAGTTGTGGCTGCAGGTCCCCTCTCCCCGCTCGCGCCTGGGGTTCCCTCTCCTCCCCCGGTGCAGCACAGCCGGCGCGGGCGGCCGAGCCCCGGGAGCCCGGGCTTATATTGGACGGTCCCCTCCCGCCCCGCCGGAGGCCCGGGGCGCGGGGAGGAGAGACCCGCCGGGCTCCCCCGCCCCGCCCGCCGCAGCCGCCGACCGCGCGCCGATTGGCCCGGGCTCCGGGTGACGTCACGGGTGCCTGTGGGTTCGCAGCGAACAAAAGAGATGCTGATGGCCCGCCAAGACTGGGGCAAGACAACTTTTTTTTCGGTTTCCTTTGCGGTCGTCAAACTTTTTAGGGGATGGGGGAAGGGATGGGAAGCGGCTGGGAGGAAAGGGAGTGGCTGGACTTGGGTGAAGAGAAGGGGTTGCAGGGCGCTCCCCCTCCCCTTTTCTTTTTTATTGGGGGTGGTGGTGGTGTTTGAGGACATTGCGTCACCTCTGGCGGGGGGGAAGAAATCTCTGCTTACAGGAGTGTATTTTGTGGGGAAGAAAGCCCATAAAATAGCCACCACCTTGCAGCTGTAAGAATCCAGACTTTGCAGGCCCGGGGCGGGGCCGCCTGTCTCCCCACCCTGCTCCCTTTCTTGGGGCTAAAGGGCACTGGCTGGGGACTCCCATATTTTGTCTTCACAGCTCCGTGTTCGGACTTCGCCCCTTCCCAGCGCTGTGCCCGTCTGGCTCTGAGAAAGCACCCGCGGGCGGACCGGGAGCGAAGGGAAGCTTGGACCTTTAATAAGCTTCTGCTGAGCACCGGGAGTTCCGCGGAGCGCTTGGCAAGTCCCGGGAAGTTTAGAGAATAAAGTTTTCTTTTGCTAGGACAAAGTAGCAGTTTGCTTTTTTACATATGCAGGAAAGCCTTCCTTCCTCTCCTGGGGATGGGACGCCCGTTTTCACTGAAAGTAAAATCACTGTGAACATCCTGAAAACTGGAAAGTTGGACGGCTGTGGGGAGAGAAAGGTCTTCGTGTTGTTGCCCACGTTCTCCCTGCCAGTTACACACAAAGCACAGATTTTTTGTTCGAATCATTAAAAGCCGGGTGGGGCGGGGACATCCCATGTCTTGCCCTTCTTTGGCCCCTTTCTTGCATTTATTTGCCATTTTCTTTTTGCTGACACGTTCCATTACAGAATGCCCCCTTCCTCCCCCGCCGCCAGATTTTTTATATTTCAATTGTTACTTACTCCAAGAGTGTGGAAAGTTCTCCTTTAAGATTCCCCTGTCTTTAACTCTAAACTCAGAGTGGAAAGGGAACCTGAGAAGTCTCCCATTTGGCAACTCATCCAATCAGTCCTATTTTTCAGACAAACACAAGCACAATTGCTTTTAAAGATTTTCAGGAGGAGGCCACCACTTCCACAGTAAATTCTGAGACCCAAACTGAATGCTTTGCCTTCTCCTGGTGTTACGAGTGCCGAGATTCCATTTACTTTGAGAACACCTAAAGCTACCAATAAAATATATTTATTTCTGCAAGGTACCTGTTTTCTCCAAAAGTTTAACCGTCAGTAATTACCATCGGAGTAATTAGTACACTGTGTTCTATAAAGTGCCTAACACATTAAAGACACAAAACTAGCATTTGTTTTTATTCATGCAAAGATTTAAAACCAACCAACCAAACAAAAAACCTAGCAAATATCAGTTTCCTACAAATAGTGTAAAAACACCTCTTGGGGAATCTTTGTGACCCACACTCCAACTTGAAAGAGTGCCATGGATTTCCCCAAATTTAGAATCCTGTCTGGGTTAGAGGATGTTTTTGTTTGTTTGTTTTTTGGTTTTTTTGGAATTTCTCATCATCGCTTGACAAAACAGTTTTCTCTTTCAAATATAAAAGAGCTCCTTGTAAAATGCTTGGTAAATTTCTGGGAAGCTGAGTGTTTCCTCCAGAGTGAAGGATACCTGGAAATCCGGATGTAAGCAAGATAAACGTAGCTAAAGCTTTCTTAAAATCCATTGATTCTGGGGGAAGGAAATAAGTGGTTAGAAAAGTATTTTGTCAACCAAAACCATAATAGTTTGATATATTTACTGTACTCAAAACACACTAGAATAATATACATAGGAGAGCTTGAAGGGGAAAGCCCACCTTACATTTTGGAAGAAACTTTTTATGTTTCAATACCATAGATATCTAATTTGTTTAAAGAAATGGGATATCTCTGTCTCATAAGGAAAAAAAAATCATCTGGTTTTTGTAGGAATGCTTGGGAGTTTTCTTTTTACTTGAAAGTTTTTTTTTTTTTTTTGCCTTTTTTTTTTTAAACTTTAGAGACAGAGACTTTTCTTAGTTAAGATAACAGAGCTTACTACAGTATTCTTTAATTATCAAAATCCCTTGTAACTCTAGATCTGTTATCTCTAACTGCAGAGATAATTAAACCTTAAAGACCACTCTGACTCTAACTCAATTAACATGTCTGGTGTCCAGGATTGTTGGACTTCCTTAAGATTTCTATTTTATCAAGGTGGGTTCTTCCTCAGTAAGTGGTATTTTTTGATTTGTAGGAAATACCCTTGGATTTCGTTATTTCTTTTTTAACTCTTTAGAGAGAGAAATGTGACAAAAAAAAAAAAAAAAGGCAAATCAATAGAGACAGAAAATAGATTCACGGGTACCCAAGTTCATGGGCTGGGAACAGGAATTAACTATAAAAGGGCACAGGGAATCTTACTGGGGTGATGGAAATCTGTGTTCTAACACTAAATTGCAGGGGTGACTGTACAAATTGGTAAAAGTTTCAAAATTCTAGGGATTATGCACTTAAAAAAATGAGTGCATTTTATGGTATGTAAATTACGCTTCAATAAAGTTATTTTTGTCCCCAAAAGTTGATTTTAAAAATTAGTATTTGTCCTTTTTTACTTTTAACCATCTCCTGATTTTGGTTTCAAGGACTTGCTCTCAAGTGGCAGCAACATACACAAGGCATCCTCATTTCTTCATTTTCCTATTAGGAAGTTTGCCTTGAACATAGTGGATTTTTTCTTCTACACCAGTAACTCCTTTTGAAACCTACTATTTGTGTGAAGCATATATGTGGTAGAGACAGAACAAATCTTCATTTAGGACTGTGTCTTGTTTCTTCTTGAAATTGCCATAGTGATAGAATTTTCCAAGAGCCTCAGACAACTTAACATTTTTTTATAACAAAAAGAAGCACATATATCTGTGAGAAGTAGGAGACTGCGGAGGGGAGAGGGAACAATAGTTTTGGGAAATTTTGTTATTCCAGAAGGTTATGGAGGAGCATGAGCAATTATTGAAATCTAAATTAAATTGATTTCCTTTGTTTTGAACATTAGAGATGGAGACATTTGATTAAACACAAAAAATAATTGATTAGATCCAGTTATTTAGAAGGACTGAAGTAAAAACAGGCCAGGTGTGGCAATTCATGCCTGTAATCCCAGCACTATGGGAGGCTAATGTGGGAGGATCACTTAAATCCAGGAGTTCAAGTCCAGCCTGGGCAACATAGTGAGGCAGTCTCTACAATAAATAATAATAAAATAACCAGATATGACGACAGGCGCCTCTTGTCCCAGCTACTCAGGAGTGTGACTTAAGTACTGGAGGATGGCTTGAGCCCAGAAGATCGAGAGATCAAAGCTGCAGTAAGCCATGATCACACCACTGCACTCCAACCTAGCCTAGGTGACAGAGCAAGATCCTGTCTCAAAAATTTAGCATTTAACATTGAAATGTTAAATGCTAAAGGTTACATTTAAATATGTTACATTTAGATGTTACATTTAATCGATGAGTTGTTTTTCCCCAAACCCTTTGGCTTTTATCCTGTTCTTAATCTCTTTCAGTTCAGCTAGACAAGAGGCGGGGCTGACTCTGGAGAGCCTGAACTTTCTTTCAATTTTAAGCTGGTGGTATCTTTATAAATTTCATCATCTTCTATAGATAGATAAGAAGGAGAAAAATTAGGGTTATTTTTTTTTTCCTCATTTTGATTTTTTTTTTTTTTTTTTTTTTTTTTTTTTGGCATAAAATGCTTCCCTTTTTCCTTGAAAATGGCCAAGTTTACAAAAATATTACTCATTAAGCACAGGTGTGAGAAGGAAAAATAAACTTCCTTGCAGGCAGCTCTCATGAGTGAAATGCCTGAAAAGTTTGTCAAGAATTGATAGGGTGCCTGCAGCCAGGGAGAAAATACTTGATAAGGGCTTTCAATTATGCCATGAAGGCTAGCCAGTTTTTGCTTAATAAGCATTTTGTTTACATTTTAGGTGACTTTATTTTTTAATCAGCACTTTTTCAAAGCCTTAATCGATGCCTTTTGCTTCTGAACAGGAATATTCTTTTCTCATTAGAGTGATGTCACTCCCAGCAGGCTTTGCAGAGGTGTTTAACTCATCCAATAAAATGGGAACTTACTACTATGTAGGTGGGAGACGTCACCAAAACTGTCTTGGAGAACATTTCACCTTTCCAAGCAAGGTAACAGCTTCTTGGAAAAATTTTACTTTTGTGTGTTATTTTATGTTGCTGTCATTAAGGAGTTTTGTTGTTGTTGCTGAAAGGCTGAATTTAAAAAAATTAGAAGGTTTCTCATATTTAAATTATTTTCTATCCTTTTTACATTAACGTACTTTAAACATCTCATATGCAGCTAATCACAAAAGTTGAGTTAGATGCTTAAAAATAACCACAAACATTTTCAGTAAATAACAATTTATGCCATCAATAGACTACTGTGATATAAGCAGTCAACCTGTCTAGTTGGTTAAAATAAAGATATATTCCATCAAATTATAAAAATTCCAATATACATGTAATTATCCCCAAATTTATACTGAACCATTTTCTAGATAAATTTGATATATTCTTTCATTAAGTATGACCATTGTGCTAAGATAAAATGGACATTTAAAATCATCACTATTTTATACATTAAAAACTAAGGCGCTGCTTACATGCATGCACATTTAAGTTGTCAGCCACAAAGTCACAAAGATTTCAGCACCTAAATAGAAATAATTGAATAGCTAGATTTTATTAAATGCTTACTCTAAACCAGATCCAGTACTACATGCTTCAATGCATATTTTCATCTAACCGTCAAAAAACTTCTAGGGTAAGCACGATCATGCTCTCATTCTTACAGATAAGGGTA